TCAGTGGGAAATGGAGTTTAGAAGAAATTAGGCATGTGGGAGTGTTACTTCTTTATACGGGAGAGAACCTAGAGGAGTATATAAGAGTTAAGTTTGAAGAACAAGAACTTAGAGCTAGAGAGGAAGAACGTATATATAGACAGAGAGAGGAAGAGCGTATAAATAGACAGAGAGAGGAAGAGCGTATAGAAAGAGATAAACAGAGAGAGAGACAATTAGAACTAGATAAACTAGATGAAAAAATTAGACTGGCGGAATTAGAGGCAGAACGACGGGAAATTATTTTAAAGAGACAGAGTCAATACGAACCTAGAGATAGACAGAGTCAGTACGAACCTAGAGATAGACCGAGATATGTAGAACATACAGCCAGACCGAGACAGTACGAACCTCGAGATAGACAGAGTCAATACGAACCTAGAGATAGACAGAGATATGTAGAACATACAGCCAGACCGAGACAGTATAACGAAGCCCGAGATAGATCCCAAGATCGCCATATAGGACAATTGAAGTTTGTGAGAGAACTATTGACAGTAAAGAACCATTGACACTTAATTAAGCCCAGTGTGTGTTTTGAATAATATTTAAATTCTATAGGACTTTCCACGAACCAGGCAAGTTGGATTTTATTGTTTAAAATATTATTGGCATAAATTTTCTCATGTATTTACATTTTTTTGTGTACCTGGGTAGAATTTAGATTTTTGCTAGAGTTAGTTTAAACAGACTGCGATTGGTCCTTAAAACTTAATTATTGTTTAATGTATGATCACCCTTAATTTGCATTGATATGGCTGGATATGTCAGTGGGAAATGGAGTTTAGAAGAAATTAGGCATGTGGGAGTGTTACTTCTTTATACGGGAGAGAACCTAGAGGAGTATATAAGAGTTAAGTTTGAAGAACAAGAACTTAGAGCTAGAGAGGAAGAACTTAGAGCTAGAGAAATAGAACGTATATATAGACAGAGAGAGGAAGAACGTATAAATAGACAGAGAGAGAAGGAACGTATATATAGACAGAGAGAGGAAGAACGTATAAATAGACAGAGAGAGAAAGAACGTATAGATAGACAGAGAGAGGTAGAACGTATAGATATAGATAAACAGAATCAGAGACAATTTGAACTTGATAAACGTGATAGAGAAATTAGACTGGCAAAATTAGAGGCAGAACGACGGGAAATTATTTTAAAGAGACAGGCATATTATTATAGCGACAGTGACGATGACGAGAGTCAAGGGGAAGAAATATATTATGGCATTGCCAGCATTCACTGTGAGAATACCTATAAAAATTTTAATAGATTTTCTATTAATGTAAGTGAAAACAACTATGTAGATAACGGTGGACATACTCATGATCCTGACCCCAGGCAAGAGCCGGCCTCGAAACCACGGTTCATGGCTAAAGATACTGAGGAACAAAATGATATTATTGCCTCTGCTGACGACTCAATTTTTTAAAATAGAAATGACAGTGATTTGTTCATGGATCCGTTGGCTAACGTTAAAAAGGACAACGTTGACCGTGCTGACATACCCCCAGTGGCAAAGGGTACAGATAGAGCTTTAGATTCAGGTCAAAACGAGGTTGAAGTAGTTGGTGTATCCCAGGAAGTCCAATGTAAAGAAGAAAGGGGACGACAATTTAATAAGGTAGAAGTCATTGGAAATGACCTTAGGTGGACGTATGTAGGGGATTGTCTCAGCACCACAGTATGTAAAGAATTGGTTGTTATGGAAACGGGTGGCATTGAAAGCAAAGAGAACCCTGTTCTAATGTCTGAGGACATGATTTTTGTTGTATCTCATGGTGAGCCATCAGATAATGTAAGTCCTGAAGTTAAAGTGTCTGATTTTTTCTGTGAAGTTGATGAGGTGAGTGTAATCCCTGAGGTGGGGGAAGGAGAGAAAATTGTTGTTGATAATTATTGTGATGTAAATGAGTCACTGTGTAATGTGAGCAAAGGTTGCTCAAATGTTGATATTTTTACAGAGATATGTACTGGTAATGACTATGAATTAGTTGATAATGTGAGCCAGGTGTGCTCAGGTTTTGATGTTACTGCAGAGATCTGCAATGAAAATGTATTACAAGTTGTTATGAGCAAGGGTTGCTCAAAATTGTATAGTATTACAGAGAGCTGTATTGATGATGAATCAATAGGTAGTGTGAGCCAGGGCTGCTCAGATTTTCATATTGTTACGGATAATTGTAATGATAATGAATCACCTGTAAATGTGAGCCAGGGCTGCTCAAATTTTCATATTGTTACGGATAGTTGTAATGATAATGAATCACCTGTAAATGTGAGCCAGGGCTGCTCAAATTTTCATATTGTTACGGATAGCTGTAATGATAATGAATCACCTGTAAATGTGAGCCAGGGCTGCTCAGATTTTCATATTGTTACGGATAGCTGTAATGATAATGAATCACCTGTAAATGTGAGCCAGGGCTGCTCAAATGTTCATATTGTTACGGATAATTGTAATGATAATGAATCACCTGTAAATGTGAGCCAGGGCTGCTCAAATTCACATATTGTTACAGATAGTTTTAATGAAAATAAATTCCCAAGTAATGTGAGTGAAGGTTGTCCAGATTTTGAGAGCCAGGAGTGCCCTAACATTAAGTTGGAAACCAATGTTGAATTAGTTAAAGAGAGCGCTGCCAGCTCTAAAGGTGCACTTGTTTATGATTTTCAAGAGGAGGTCATTTGTCAGGTCCATGAGTTGGGAGGTGAGGCTTTTGATTGTATTGTTAAAAAAAATGAATCTGTTAAAATGAACTATTGCCATGATTGCTTTGAAGTTCCTGATTTGTTTGAATTTCTTTTTTATGAGACTCTTTCATTTTGTAACAATTTAAAAATATGTATTGTAAAACTGAGGTTTCACATGAGTTATGACCACGGGTCAAAAGAACAGGGAGAGATAATTCTAATTATAATAAACATGTTGAAGCATAAAGTTGTGAAATCCACGGACAAAAGATATGTCCCGCCATCTGTAGCTGTGTTATTTAAGAGCAAATAAAGGCTGCTCAAATTGTGGTGAGGCATCTCTCACCTGTAATAATGTTAGATAGTTTTGTGTTTCTATAGTGATGACCATTGGTTTTATTTAAAAATACACCTTTTTGATGATATGATTTGGATTAACTTAGTTATAGTTTCAACTTCAGTAAGGATATTGATGTATTTGCCCGGATTTTTGAGATACAAATATAATTATTTTTATTGGTATGAAAAATGAAAATTAATGTTGACATTCAATTTTAATGGTCTGATTTTTATTGTGGTACATGAATTTTTAACTCTTGAATTGCATTTAAAATTATGTACGATGGATTGTTTATTTTATTGCAGTATATCATAAATCTGTTTGATTTTCAGTGATACCTAAATAATGTTTTTTGATAAGGACCATTCATATGGCTGAAGGGTTCTTCTTGATGTAATTGATGTAAATTTTGTATGTCTGGTGACGATTTCACTCCCTGAGTAAAATCTGAAATGAAAGAGGGGGGATATGTCGAGTATGAGCGTTCATTAGTAATTGTTGCGACTCAATATTATGTTCATTAGTTGTTGAACGCTTTTCCCGCGCTTGACTATTATAGTTAGTGAACGCTCTTCCCGCCATTGTCTCTATGACGTATTTTTATGCTGATTCGTGACGTATTGTCTATGCAGTATTGTGACGTATGTTTTAGTCGTGCGGCAGTCTTGAGTGGAACCTTGGAGTGATAGGATGTTTATTATATTTACTTAGATATTAAAGTTATAGTTATTATGAAAAGGAGTTGAGTTTGTTAATTGATAGTGAGAATAGTACGACGCTTCAACGTATGAAAGAACTGACGAATGTAATCAATCCAAGAAGGCGGTAGAGGAGTTGACAGCAGTAGACGAGCATACTTTATATTTTGCGTTTTATTTTTTGCCTTCATCGGGCAAACATCATTCGTCAGAGGCAATTTTAACAGAGACTTAACTTAGTAAGACAACATGCTGAGCTTTCTCTCACACAGACGAAATATGTACTGACTGCAGGTGAGGCCCACTGAAACTGATTATACTTAATCCTAAACTTTCCTCTCAGTGCACTGATCGGCATCGGAAATGTGTGTTTTCCAATGGTCTTAGGCGACTCCCGTGAAAGGGTCTCAAGACCCACAGGTTGAGAACCGCTGTATTGGTGTGAGACGGCTTTTTGCTAGCTATTGATATAAAACAAAAATAATTCCAAAACTGATAAGACGCAAAAAATATAAGAGTTACCAAACCGAGAAGTATTAAGGCTAAGGCAAAGCATATGCCCCACTCACATTAAAATTAAATGTTCATTTGATTGAATTTTGTTGACTCAGTTTTGCCCATTTCTACATAAACAATGCTGTTCTTTACCATTCCATTGGCTTCAAAATATTTTTTTGTGAACAGTAGCCTATATGTTAATTCATTGGTTCCCACCTTCCTAATGCCGCGACCCTTTAATACAGTTCCTAAAGTTGTGGCGACTCCCCAACCACACAATTATTTCGTAGATACATCATAACTGTAGACTGTAGAGTATATGTTTTCAGATGGCCGGGGTCGCGACCCATAAGCAATAGATTGAGAACCGCTGTGTTAATCGAAGGTAATTATTAAGCGTTCGCGAGCATTGAATGTTGCAGAGACAGTCACGCAAGCAATCCTTTAAAAACTTTTAAATTGTGAGAGCCACTGGTTTACTTCCAAATTAACTCACTTCTACGAAGTCAGTGAATGCTACCATGTTTTTGAAAAATATGAAATAAATAAAAAATAAGTTCCCGCGAACCGGATTCGAACCAGTGACCTAAGGATAGCTTCATTGCATCTACAGTCCTCCGCTCTACCAACTGAGCTATCGCGGGGATGTCAATAAGGCAAAAATTTAATAGATAATGCTATTTTCTTGGCTCTTTTTCATTGAAAATTATTTTTGTTTAATACTTTGTTTGAAAATGGCGACCAACGGAGAAACCGAAAGTACCGCTCCTGAATGCAGTGATGGAAGTCATTCATTTCTTTTATCTAGTTATTTAGATGAAGTAGAGGATAATGTCGAAGCGTTACGACGTAAAGCTCATGAAGTTTTACAAGAACGAGACAGTCTACTTACAATCCTTTCCCAGCTCGAAGCTGAAAGTTTAAAATTAAATGGATCGGTTTCAGAAGGTAAGCGTAGGCTGGCGTACCGTTGACGAACTACGGTAGACCGTAGAGGCGTTACTTAAGTGAAGTGCCGTAAGCCTTAGGCCCCTAAAAATGAAATAAATTAATAGGCCTAAGCAATGTTTCCTCTAAGGTTTGCTGGTTCGTGTGCAAAATCATACAGTTATGTGCAAATTTTTACAGCATCAGATTTTTTTCTGTGCAAAATATTACATGTACAGCCCACAATCACAAACACAAACTTACATGGAATCCGTCATGGAAATTTGCTGCGCGGATACTCAAAACTGCGGCGTGAGTGAGCCGCGCAGCTTAAAGGGAACATTGGGCCTAAGCCTAAGGCAAATCTACACTAACATGGCAGCCAGCTGTGACCTTCATTTCATGACTTCGTTGCCAATGAGTTCAATGACCCGTTACTGTTACTGTAACTGTAACGGTTACAGGTCATGGCAACCAAGGCCAAGGTAGTGGAGTAGTGGCCATGTAAATTGTAAAAAAAAAAACATCTGCCGTTCACTGCTAAAATTGAGGAGGGGAAAGGGAGAGAATGTGCTGGTTTAACTATTTACCGTGTGAAACCAAAATTTGTCAAATTTAATAAAATATGGTTATCTACCACTAACGCATCGGCCAAGAAAAAATCCAGTTTTTCCAGTTTGAAGCGCTATTTAAACAATCATTCTTAAGATCCAAAAGGATGGAAATGTTTTTATGACATTGCACATACTGGTATTCATTTCAGCACATATATAATACAAATAACACAAGACAATTTTTTAAAATAGAAAAACTAAAACAATTTAATTTTTAAAAAAAATAGAAATAGCAGAATTAGAGAATTTAAACAATTTAATGTGAGAAAATTAAATAATTCATAGTTCTTCCCCAAGGTGACAATGAAGTTTTTAAATACGGTATATCATTTCCACGAAAACGGTTGCGGTAAATATCATGGCTTATGCCAAACTGTCTTTTCAGTTTGTGCCTATCCACATTGTTTGTGTGGATATCAGCTTCATCTGGATCTACAAAATTTTGTTGAAGGACCCCCAACGTAGTGTTCATAGATTCCATGTTTGATCTGGTTTATGTTTGCATAAGCCGTCCATCTGCCCAATACATTATGTGAGCTTGTAAGGATATATCTCTCAATGCGCTCCTGTAACATGATCACTACTCAGTCTGACACTTCAATAAGAAAACAGAGCCCACTCTCTCTTTCTATGCCACCGAAAACCCAGTCGCCCTCTCTCCACTATACTATTAACGGACATCAATAAAAGAATAAACAGAAAAGTTTTTTTTCATAATTGACGCTCAGGTGGTAGATTACCAATGTTTATTAGTCTATATTTTAATTTTACACCTAAGGCTTATTAACCAACTGTTCTTAATTTTAAGTTTTATTAATGGTCAATTTCCGCAATCCGTGCCATGGCATAATGTATGTGTAGCATTCTCTCCCTTTTTCTTATTCTTGTGTTGTTACAAGAGTTAAAAAAAAAATTAAAACAACCATTTGAATGTTTAATATTAAAATTTAATTGGTTGGTTAGTTATACTATTTAAAGTTTCTGGCATCTTAGGAAATGGGTAGAGGCTATTGTATTAAATTGACTTTCTGACAACTTTTGGATTTTTTTTTTTTTGGTGGAACCTGAAGTAAAGTGTGTAAATAGGTATTCTATGAAACTGTAAGTTGGGTTTTAATTATTTTACAAGTATTTTGTACCAGTATTGTTTTTCTTCATATTTACAGTTTTCTCACTACAGTGTGTAACTGTAGCAGCACACGTTTTACTTGAGGGAATATAGCATGTACTGGCTGAAACGCATCATATTGTTAAGAATACCTATATACACTACCGGTACCTGTAAACATGAAAAAAAATTTAAGCAAACCAAGTACTTGTTAATATTGGTTTGTGAATTTTTTTTGTAAAGTTCGAGAATTTTAAAATGATTTTAGAGTAAGAACTCTGTGTCACTCAATTTAATTCAATACGGTAATACAATAGAAAATAAGCGCATATTAATGATCTCATCACATCTGACGCAGATAGACTAAATATTTCAATGTTACTAGGCCTATAGACTAATTATATGTTTAATGTCACAGAATGTTTTATTCTTCATGCTAGCAGTAGCATGTATTTTCCCTTCCTTATGCCTTATGCCTTGATCATATAAACAACAGATCACATGCCCTAATTCATAATGGTTTTCACAACATAAAATAGATTTTTTTTTTTGGTTCCTCTAAAATTTTCGAGTTTCATATGCAAACTATACAAATAGTATAAATCAATAATCTCATATAAAAAAGTAAAGATATAAAGGGTTTATACTAATGTTTTCAAGCAGCACAACACAGGTAAACTACACAAAATGGTATAATATGTAACATAATAATTATAAGAGTAAAACTGGAATGGGTTGCCTTAACTCCATGTTGATACACCAAATGTTCCTCTCTTTGAGTAATGAATAGTAACTTATTAAAGTAACTCATTTATTTTTCTTTGCCTTTTTAATTTTATTATGGAACCAGCTGACATCATCCTTGTCTGTTTTCCAGTCTAATCATTCAGAGCTTAAAAAATTTCAGATTTTTCGCAGTGTGCAATTATTGTCAAATCACTTCTCTGGCTTTTGGCAGCCACTCAAATAGTTTTAATCTTTTTTTTCTTATTGAGGAGCATCATAATGGTAATGCATCGTCTGTGCTGATATGACTTGTGACCATTTTAAATTACCGGTATACAACTTTTTATAGTATAATTTATAGGCTTATATAACAAACATTTTGCAACAGATCCTCTAGGACTTAATAGATGTTACTTAATGAATGGACGGCTCCTTATACAAATATTTATGAATGAGTTTGCTAAATTTCATTTGACTACTTTTGATGTTAAGTTACACCTGGTATATATAGGATATATGTAACATGGCTAGAGTGCAAAAATATAAACAAATCTACTGTAATTTCACTGTTTGAGCGATGACCTCTTAACGGAGGTTGTGTTAGCTAAGAGTTATTATGACTTGATTTCCTTGACTATGATTTCCAATACCGGTACGGTAAAAAAAATAAAACCAATACAAATCAAGGCACTTTGGAAGACTGGTTAGATGGGACTTCTCAACCTCAGAGACTAGATCATCAACTACACAGCCACCCCCCTATGTCAAAGGCTACCCAGAACTAGAGTCTAGTGAATGGTCTGACGAGGACTTAATGAAATTTTGGCAACTCATGTGACACTATAAATTATCAGTGGCAAGACAGTCCCATACTATGCTATACTTAGTTACTTAGATGATTATGCCACCATTCTGTAATAAACAGGACATATTGCTCTAATGTTCACCAAACAGTTGATTTGAATGTTTATTGCTGGCTTAGGCTACAATGCTGAGCAATAAATCAAAGTCCTTGATGTTACTTTATTGTACAATATAAAAACACAATTATTTACACCAATTATTACTAATAGTAATAATTTAGTAAACTAAACAATACAATGCATGGTCACAATATCAAGCTGAAATAATCAATTAATTTAAGTTAATTGGACTATTCAATCAAAGATTTATCTTTCTATTAATTAGACATTTTAATCAAATCACATCTAATTAGTGGGACAGGTCAATAAAATATACATCTACCTATCTCCCTGATATCCCAGACAATACTCTAATTAAATAGTAATTATGCTTAAAATTTCTTAAATTAATGGCATTCCTAAGGACAATCAACATTACTCTTTGTTAAATAATGGCATTGGTGGAAAAGAAATTTCCATTTTTTACTTTCTTTAAAATTAGATTGATGACTAAAATTAAATAATTTTTAATCTTTTTCATTTTACTTTCAGGTGAGTGCCAGGAAATTCTTATCAATATTGAAAGATTGAAGCAGAGGTGCTTAAATATTGAAATTAAAATTCACACAGTGCGCACTCCAGAGCAAGAAAGTTCATATTCCAAAGTAAACTCTTTGGTGCGGGGCCTTGAACATTTATGCCTGGATGGAGATCCAAATGAGGAATCTTATCAACATCAAGCTAAAAATTATCTCAATGCCTGTATTTCTGATAACCTTTCGGGTGGATCAGTGGACTATAAATTTCAAGGACTGATTTTGGGTTGTAAACTGGAGGATCAAAAGAATGTCCGCCAGCGACTTGAATGTTTAGTGAAAGGTCGCTGTCATGAAAACTACTTTGAAGAGGTCTTACAGAGTGATGGAATACCGGTATCTAAAAGTGATTCTCGAAATCCTGTAAGCAGTCCACCAAATGATGAACATAATAAAAAAAAGTCTGAAAATTTAGGAATTGAAAGTGGTAGCCTTAGTCATAGTGAGCCATCATGAAAAATATTTGATGAAATGAATGCACCTACAATTCAGTCAAATGGTACAAATAACATCCGAATAGCACTGAGTCAAAATGAACCAAGACACGCACCGCCGCCGTTCACAGCCGGGTACCATTAGACTCAAGCTATTCGGATGTCATTTGTGGTAGTTTATTTTATTTAAACTGAAGAATTAAGTTTACAAACATATAGTCCATTCAATTATCTTTCATTTAATACCTCATTTTGTCTTACAAACCCAACAATAAAATTTTTAATTGTTTTTTAATCCCAACCTCTCACTTCTGGTACCCAGGTACAAATAGTCGCAGCCTTAAAAGATAGAAGCATAATTATCATAATAACAGTATTTATTTTGTGCATGTGGACTCTTCCATAAGTCTTTGACTGTTGCAGTACCCGTACTTAAAAAAAAAATCAAGTCTTTTTAACAGGGATTCAATTAACAATATTGAAAAAGATTTCTAATAACTTTTGGAAAACGTTTTTTCATGACTCTTAATACAGTGGACAACTTTATTTTCTTATTTTTAATCTGCTTGGATCTATTTTGTATACCTGTAATATATTTAACCTTATAATTTAACATATATAAACTTATAAACACACATTTTTGTTCCTTGTTCCGCTGAACCGGTACATATTTTGCATTTATTTAATAGTTTTATACCCATTTTTAATTGAAAAAAATGTCCTTAACTAGAAGTCAGAAGTGTCATTAGTTTTACCCTGTATAGTTAAAAAGTTTTCCAGATCTGCCACTGAATTGTAGATAATGCAAAACATGTAAGATTCTAGTTAAAAAAGTTCTTTGAAATGTCCTTAAAGAAGTCCTTAAATATATATTTAACTTTCTATTTCTATTTCCATGTTGTTTGTTCAATATAAAATTAAGCTTTTTCAAACTTTCAGATTACAATAATTTATTACATGCCTTGATTTACTTTGGTGCAACATCCATGTACCATATAAATATAACTTGTGTTCATCTAAATTTTAATGAAGTAAAATGTTATGTACTGTACAAAAATACTAATGGTTGCTCTAAATATTTTTCAACAGCTATGTGCACATCTGGTAGCAATCCCATTTTAACACCTTTCATCATCAGGTCTAAATTTAACTTTTTAAATCTTTTATTTATATTACTATTAACATTCACTTTTGTTCAAGTTTCTTTCTGGGTTTGTGGCAAAATCTTGGGGAGGCTAATTGACCCACTTGCCGCCAACCTTTCGAGCTGAAACTTGGCACTGAGACTCGTTGCCGATGACAAAACATTCTTTTAAATTTTCAGCCCCACCCCCAAAAATCAGTTATATCGCTACCATATGCCACAGATTTCACAAAATGTATTTCCCGATAACTTCACTAAATGAGATTTTTTTTAAAATCTCAAGTGCACAATATTTTCTTTTGTTTACAGAAATAGTGCAATAAATCTGTGGTGTAAAAGTGGGTGGGACATTAGGATACTAATATAGTACAGGGGCATTTGCGGTTGCCAGCACTTAATAGGATTCTTATAAAGTACTGTGAATGCAATTGTCAAATTTTCAACCCCACTCCCTATTGCTGGATATTACATTTTTTTAATACAAAAAAAATATGTTTAGGGGTTGATTTAAATCCCAACCATTGCTCAAAAAAATGTTACAGTAATGTATGTCATCCTATAATTATTCAGTAATAGTATCAAGATTTTTATTTGGGGCATGCTAAATCAAGAACTTGGTAGCTAGTCAATACAAATTGATTTTTTAAAAATATGAGCTTTGTCAAACAGTTTTAATTTTTCTTGATTTTACGAGTTCATTGAAATGTTTACCGATTTACAAATGTTCAATTGTGAGGATGATTCCTTTGTTACAACCCCACAGAGATTCTATGTACAAGGGTTCTTAACCTTTTTTAAGGGCCCTACCAACTTTCAAAAATTTTCCATCTAAAGTAGCTTGTTCATAGGTGTCATCTCTTGTATTGCAATATATTTAATAAAAGAAGGGATATCTCAACTGTAAATAAAGAATCACTTGGTTTCTGCACTATTCAAAATTGTTAAAACCAATGTATATAGATCAAACCTTTTAGTGGACGTCAAATTTATCACTTGACAGTCTCATTTAAGATAAATCCATTTTTAGATGTATAGTGTAAATTTGTGGATGGAATTATATAATTAAAATTTGTTATAAAATGTATTATATTACATTAAGAAATGGTGTTAGCAGGCCGTTGAGCTTGCACCCTTTATGCCCTCCCCAAATGGGTATCGGGTATGTCCCTTTGTCAGGACGGCCCCCACCAGATAAAATGTATTAATTTACTTGGTGCTCATTTGTTTATGATAAGTAACAACACATCACAAGTACAAATAATGAATAGGAATAGGATTCAGTTGATTCAGATGCACAACAGTTTAATCTCACTTCCAGTAACAAATCTGGGCAAAAAACATAAGCCATATCCAGCAGTAACAAATAGGCATAATTTTAAAGGCATATACACAAAGTATAACATTTAGAGCAGTAATTTTTTTGTACATCTTTAAGTTACCATACTTCAGAAATTAAAGTAAGAAAGTAAACAAAAGATAAAAATTTTAGTTTTCCCCCCTTAATTTGTAATGAAACAGATCAAATTGATAAACGTAGATGTGGAGAAATATTAGAAAAAAGAAACGAAAAAAATAATTGAAAATCAAATTTTCACTTGGTTGGTCAACACTATCAAGTGTTAAAAATGCCACACGAAAATGCTAGTGAATGATGCGTAATGGAATCATGTACACATGAATAAAGCAGGAATAAGCAGCCATCAATTTCTCATTGATTATGTGGTCATGGGCTCGGCTGCAGCAGCACTACCAGTTTTCTGCAAATTGAAATTACAGATTTCTCTGTTAATAAAGGCGAAAATCATTTTAAACCATCATATCTAACAAAATTTCTTTCCTTTTGTTATTAACAAGGATTATTATCTATGAATGTAAATTGTTCATCATGTCACCAGTATGTCTATTTTGGACTCACCTCAACATCACTAGTAACCTTGTCAACATTTATCGGAGTCTCTCCATTGCCATTCACCTTGACATCACCATTTGTCTTTAATGCAGAATCCCCCGCAGCACCATCCTCCTGACGTATTTTCTTTATCTCCAAAGCAGCAGGGGCTTCTGTATCATCTTCAGGTTTCCTCTAAAAAAATCATTTAAAGGAATTAGAAATGGAAAAATTTTTTCACTCACCTAACTATTAAGGTACATTTCATAAACCTATCTCTTACCTTCTTCCTAACCAAATGAGCAATATCTGAGGCTTTTTTCTCTCCATTTTCATCTACATCTGGCCCTGCACTTGCAACACAAACATCATTTTTTTTAGTAGGAGAACCAAAGCCCTGAAATTGACAAAGTCATGCAGACAGTCAGGGCTAGTTTACAATCAAATATTATATAATAACTGCTATCTTAACTAGAGCTTAATTTATTTCTGATTATTTTTCTCTGATCTTTAAGGATCATACTATGATTAAAATGTTTAACCTTCGTGGTTCCAGAAAGCCCTAACATTTCTTTGGCCATTTCCTTCATTTTTTCCATATCTGTTGCTTCAACTTGAGTATCTTCAATCTAAAAAAATGAAAGAAATGAAGATTTAAAACAGCTTGGATGTTTCACAAAGTGAAATATCTTTGTACCTGTATCAAAATATTTGCTGGGATTTCCATGTTTAATTAGTCAATTTTATTGTCAGCTTATTGATCTACATTTTATTGACACCCATATATTTCATTCTTATTGATACCCATATATTTTAAGGCATTTACCCATTCGCTACTAACACCAAAACACCCCCAGTAATACTTAGCAAAGGGAGATCACTCTAAATACATGCACCCATGTTAGAAAAAATATTCTTAACCCTCGAACTGTGGCATACATCATTCTGTAGTGTGGGAGATTTTCAGGGCTTTTTGAGTGCCTTTAGAAATAGTATTAATAAATATTTTAAGAAAGGTAAATGGATGGGGACAAAGTTGGCTATATTGTCCTTGAAAAAAAATATCGACAAAATGACTTGCTTTCAAGTGCTCATAACATCAATTTTTATAGATTCCATTAAAATGCTGATACAAATGTGGTAGCCAATTCAAAAAAATGTATAGTTTGCCAAGGTTTTGATTACAATTAAACCTCTGAAAGAAATTTTAGTAATTTTAGGTCATTTATTACTGAAAAAAAAATAAACTGGGACCACAGCTAAAACCAAGTACAACAAACAAAATCTCAGGCAAAATAGTGTAAGGAAACCTTGCTTGCTCTCTGCTAACCTTCATCTATATCTGACATCCACTAAAGAAACAACTCAGGCGATAACAATTGATGATTATAGTCTTGTTCTTTATTAGGCTGACACTTCGCTTATACTTTCTCTCATCTCGCAACTCTGACTGCCCTCTTGTCATACCGTCCGAGTTCTCCCTGGTATCTGCGTCTCTGTCCGGCCGCGTTTCTCCCCTTTCCGTCCAGAGGTCCCTATTTATAGGTCCCTGGGTCTGTACTTGCGCCGCCCCTTTTTCTCAGTCGGCGCCAGGTTACCAACCAACCAGTCGTCCCAGGGAAATGCCCTGGTCAGATGGCCGGTACCGCCCCCGGCGCTTGATCCGTCGATCGTGCTCCCTGGTCAGATGGCGCCGGCTGCACCTGGTCAGACGGCCGGTAACCCTGGTCAGACGCCCCCGGCGCCGTCGTGATCCGAACTCTCCACAATGCCCGGCGCCGTCGTGGTCCCGTCGTGGTCCGAACTCTCCACAATAGTTATTGACTAGTAAACATTTAAAAAGGAACTGTAACTGATTTGGGTTGGGTTTCACTATAAAATTTATTAGTTCTGATCTATAATCTTTAGCTTCTGTGACTAAAATTCAGTCAGTTCTTGCCCAACCTCCGGGCCTGGCTCGAAGTCTAACAGTAGGGCTTACTGCAGTATCCAGGGTTCCTGCACCAAATTTTTTTTATTAAAACCAAAAATTCCAAAAGTTTTCCCAATAAAAAATACAAAATTCCACGACATTATTACAAATTTAAAAAAAAAAAAAAAAAAGATGCTATACTTTTCTTTTATACAATTTTTTTTGCACTAACAGGACATAAATGCACTTGCATAGTGCCGGTACTTACTCTAAGGAGTGCTAAAGCTATAGCAATTATTTGATTTAAGGATGTAACGGTATAGATACTCTGGTCCCGTGTTCACACACAATTGAGTAACTTGGTTTTTATAAGATGTACTTGATGTTTGACAACAAATAACTAATAAAGTTATAATAATATAAGTTGAAATAATCCATTTTAATTACTAGTAAGTAATTACGAAGATACATATAACTTGGGAGCGTGACTAAGAAGTTGCCAAAGTGGACACCTGAGGTAGGTAAACAAACTGAAGTTGAACTAGAGGAAGTCTCAGATGATTAACGTTTATTAATCTTTTCCCCCTAGTTTTCATGGCATCTGAGAACTGTCCTGCAAATATACTTGATATCAATATTTCCAATATTGTTGTTCGTCCTGTACACATGAGGATTACTAAGAGTGGAGCAGTAGCCTTGAGGTGAACTGTATTTCGTTTAAATTTAGGGAGATTTGCTTGATTTGTCAGGACAAACAAGGATGCAGTAGATTTCCAGCAGTGTGTGTGTGTGTGTTTCACTATGCTCTTTTTGCTTCTACGTCAGAGGAGTTGGTCAGAATTTTCATTGTGTCAATGTCATAATGCCTATGGGACTCCATCTCCGAGTTTGATTTCAGAGTCTGCCATTCAAGGTTAACGAGTCCCATCTACCCAGGCATTTTCTGGGGATTGAATTCCAGTCCACTAGTCACTAGCTTGGGATTGACTCAGTGATGGCTTGTTCAATCAGGACTGCTATCTTCATCAGTCTATTTACCCTAGACCCTGAATATTGAAACAAAATATAATTAATACATTATATTTGGTATACAATAGGGTTAACATAATAATTAACATAATAATTTTTTATACTGTTACTTAGGGAGGCAGAAAGAGAAACTAAGATATGCATTTGCCTATGTAATGGCTTAGTCCGGATTTTAAACAAGGGAATGGGTGCATTAGTTAATTTTTAACTACCGGTTAAAATAAGGACTAACAATGTTAAGTTATACGAGGCTCAATGGATGCATTAGCTAGTTTTAATAATTTTTTAATGAAGTTTCGAATTCATCGTAACCATGCTACGCTAAATAACTTAAATACTAAACTTAATTTTTTTATTTAATACTTGCCAATTTAGAAGGCCTACTCTAATAATTAAACTTAAAAGTTATAGGCTTAGTACTTAAACTCTATTTAAAAAAATATGTGTCAATGTTATCGTTTATAATAGTAATAGGCATAGGCTAGACTAGACAAAGGCCTACTAATACCGATTGTTAAGATTTATTATTTATAAATCAAATTCTTCTTTTTTGGTCATGGGGCTGGGATAGACCTATGGCTAAGATAACTTAAACAGCCGCAAGCATAAATTTTATTCCTTCTTTAATTAACTTTAACACTACAATAGGTGGGTTTATTTTTTTGTTGCTAAAACTTCGACTTAAAAAAAAAAAAAATTTAGACTAAGCGTAGTCGGCTTAGTCAATTTATAGATCGATAGGGCGCATAGTTTTTGATTCATAATAGTTTACTGAATATTTACTAAAAAAAAACTACATTTAAATATCTATTACCTGCATTTTAATTTTACACTATACTTACCCAAAAAAAAAAAAATAGTTGAACGATGAACTGAACAAAAAAAAACTTGTCTACCAGGGCATTACGGTACGACATTACATGTCCGAAACTCGTAAAGCGCATGCGCGGTAAAGGGGAAACCACAAGAATTATTATGGCACACTCGTTTTGATAACAGAAGAGCTAAAAATAGAGAAAAATAGAAAGAAAAAAACTATCGCGACCAGGATTTTTTTTTTACCCCTCGCTCCGTGGAAACAAAAATTTCAGGACATTTAAGGAAAAATTGTAAAATTTAAGGAGTTTTCCAGGATTTTATCAATTTTTTCAAATTCCAGGAGCTCCTGGAATTTCAGGATGTTGGAACCCTGAATATCACTAAGACTAGTATCAGATTCACAAGAAGAAGAATCTGAACTGAGATGTCATGGGGAATGTTAAAATCATCAGTATCAGTTGAACTTAAATCCTCTCCTAAAAAACTTTCAAAAGTATTTATAATAATATTAGTTATCCACTGAAGGCCCAGCCATAGCTTTAGCAATTTTAGCTTAAAAAAAAAAAACGGCATGCCCTGGAAGTTGATTTAATTATTAATAAAAGGAAGTGGTATGATTCCAATAAAATATTGGATTGGAAGTTGCTAATCGGACAGTGTTTTTTTTAAATCGGCCGCCACAGTACATAATGAGAATATCAGCCGACCACAGTTTGAGGGTTAACAACCAAACAACCTATATAACAAAACATGCATTAAAAATAGAAAATAGAATAACCTTTTCATAAAAGTATAGTTTTCTATACTTCAATTCACATGTTTGCTGTAAATTATGAAAGTAGTCTGTTTTTACTTCGATTTTTAGTCTTGCTGTAAATTATGAAAGTAGTCATAGTTTGTTTTTACTTTGATTTTTAGTCTTGTGGAATTTAGAAAAACAGTAGCCCTTGTGTAGATAAACCTGGCACAAATGACAACCAGTTGGTTCCCTACTTCTACCACTGTCCATCATGTTACCATCAATCGAGCACTGGTTACATAGACGTTTTCTTCCAGTCATTAGTCGGCTTGGCACTTTTCATGATCAGAAAGCTATTGATCATTGAAAGATCCATTGAAGATTGAAATGTACCAGAACACATACCTCCACAACTTGGAACTTGCTCGGACCACAGGCTAATAGGCACGATGTTGGTCTGACAACTCCACCTCAAACATATCAGAAATGTAGGTGACAAATGGCATTGCAATTTCTAATTCCATCTTTTGACCTGCGTTGAACCATGGTGACTACTGGGTCAGAATTGGTGGATATTATGTTCACTTGATGTTTTTCAGTCCATTTTGAGGCAACCATTAAACCTTACTATTTTATTCTAACACTTCCCCTCTTCTGTTTAGACTTTGGTAGAAGCCAGCCTTTTCTGTTGGGCCATATGGTTGCACAGCTATATGTTTTTCATGATAAGAGGTCCTCTACAAGTTTTGGAGAGGAAAAGAAATTGTTGAAAAGCACTTCATGATACCTATCCAGGTATGGTTGACATAGCTACATCATATCCAAAGTCCATGATCTGAGAGATTGTTACTTTTGCCAGGATAAACTTGAAAGTTAAGAATGTAACCAGTTTTGGCTTCTGCCCAGCACCAAATTTTGATGCTCCACGGAGTTGGCTTGTTACTCTAGTACTGCTTGAAGGATAATCTTCCACGAAAACCAACCATTTCCTCATCTATGGACAGCGGTCGCTTGGTTTATACATGCTGTCAGGTACACATTCTTAATATGGTCTAGTATTGGTCTCACTTTGTACAGGGGATCATAGAGTTCACTTATTTCTTGGCCGGAATGTTTTCTCTGTGGGTGATATGAAAATACTGTATAATTTTTTCATATTGGGAGCGCCCCATTACATCTGCAACTGCAGAGAACCTCCAAAGTTTGTCACTAGACCAGTACAATTTAGTAGTGGGAAATTTATGAAGCCCATTTATAAAATTTATATACAAGAATTTTTAAATACCCTCAATAACAGCCTCCATTGGGTGTCTGCCCTTAGCAGTCTGCTGTTGCTCAGCTTATTTGTTGGATTCCACAACAATAAATTCCACCAAGGCATCAGTCACAAACAGTTGAAGTAGTCTATTGGATTGCTTTCCATAGAAAGTTTATGGCTGCCACCATCTATTTCACAAAATATCTCCATCTTATCAGTTACATTGGTAAAATTGTCTGACCAAGACTCGGTGAGTGTCTTGATTGGACTCGGTGAGTGTCTTGATTGCTATCATCAATGTCGCTTTTGTCAGTATTATTTTCAGTTCAGTGCATTTTGATCAATATAAATGTCCGATTCATCTTCATTATCAGAATTATCTGATGAATAATTAAAAGTGGAGGCAGCAGAGTCAAGAAACTGAAACCCCATAGCAAAATAATCTCAGAAATCACAAATTCACTAAGCTTAGACAAACAACATGCAGCTTTCAAACTGTAAAAGGTAAATACATCTGTTTAAAAAAAAAATTGAAACAGCTATATTCTTACTTTTTTAAAAGCTGTTTGCAAGGCAGCAAAGCTTCTTCTGATATCATGAGTTATGCATACGTTGCTGGGCGTGATGGTTCATTCGGTCTCATTAGTAGCAAGGCGGGCATGTTGCATTTGGTCGCAATAGTAGCGAATGGGTTTACAAAATTTGTACATCGCATGTTAAATGATAAAATAACTTGCCTTATTTCGCATTTCAGGTATTAAATCTTGTAGTTCTTTGATCTCATCTTTATACTTTTTCAATTCATCAGTTTCATGGTTTTCTGCGATGTAGACATTTTTAATCAATCAAAATGCTTACATCTTTTCAATTTTAATATAACACTATTTCAGTTCATAGATCAATAACAGAAAGGAAAGAGCAACAAAATAGATGGGTGGAATACTTTAAGGAACTATTAAGCAGACCCCCAACCACAGACGCACCAGACATATATAGAAGAAAGTGCAACAAGTAAAGAAGAAATAGCTCTCGCCATCAAGCAGCTCAAAATAGGGAAAGCACCAGGACCGGATAACATCACAGCAGAGATAAGAGCTGATATAGAAACAATAGTCAACATGCTGCACCCTCTGTTTGAAAAGATATGGGAAGATGAGAGAAGATTGGAAAGAAAGATACCTCATCAAGATACCAAAGAAAGGGGATTCAGCAACTGTGCAAATTACAGGGGAATTATACTGCTGTCTGTACCAGGAAAGGTCTTTAACAGAATTATTTTGATCAGAATGATAGACCAGGTCGATATGCAGCTAGAAGATGAACAGGCTAACTTCCGCCAAAACCGATAATGCACAGATCAAATTGCAACACTAAGAATCATAGTAGAACAGTCCATCGATTGGAACACCCACACCCCCCCCCCCCCCCCAAATTCAGTTTTTCCGGTTTTTCAAGGAGAAGATAAGTGAAAAATGCTTCGTTCCACGGTAGTGTATTTTGGTGTGGAGAGTAATGGTGCAGCTATGCATTTGTGACGNTGTCCCCAGACAAGGATACCCCTTGTCCCCAGACAAGGATACCCCTTGTCCCCAGACAAGGATACCCCTTGTCCCCAGACAAGGATACCCCTTGTCCCCAGACAAGGATACCCCTTGTCCCCAGACAAGGATACCCCTTGTCCCCAGACAAGGATACCCCTTGTCCCCAGACAAGGATACCCCTTGTCCCCAGACAAGGATACCCCTTGTCCCCAGACAAGGATACCCCTTGTCCCCAGACAAGGATACCCCTTGTCCCCAGACAAGGATACCCCTTGTCCCCAGACAAGGATACCCCTTGTCCCCATTTCTATTCATCCTTGCCATTGACTGGATAATGAAAAAATCCAGAGAAAAAGAGGAATGGGATACAATGGACACTCTGGGAACAGCTAAATGATTTAGACTTTGCAGACCACATTGCACTTCTGTCCCACCACCAGCAACAAAAGATGTTGCCACCAGTTCAGCACAGCTTGGACTCAATATAAATAAAAGCAAGACAAAAATAATGAAGGTAAACTCATCCAACCAAGAGCATATTTGTTTTGCAGAAAAGGCACTGGAAGAAGTGGAGTCCTTCAATTACTTAGTCAGCACCATAGAGACGAATGGCGGATCCGATGCGGACTAAGGGCCAGAATTGGAAAAGCTAGATCAGCATTTGTGCTATTAAAGAAAATATGGGAGTCGAAGGAGCTGAAACTGCAAACTGAAGTCAGAATCTTTATTATAAATGTCAAAACAGTCCAACTATATGGTGCAGAAACTTGGAAAACAACAGTGAGCCTTATGCAGAAAGTGCAGACATTCATAAACACATGCCTTAGAAAGATCCTGAAAATCAAATGGTCAAATACTATCACCAACAAAGATCTAATAGAAAGGACATACCAGGTGCCCAATGATGAAGATATCAAAAAGAAAAGATGGAGATGGATAAGGCATACGCTCCAAAAAACCCCAGATAGCACCAGACAATGCCTAACATGGAACCCACAGGGAAAAAGTAAGAGAGGAAGGCCTAAGAATACATGGAGAAGCGAGCTAGAGGCAGACACGCAAAATATGGGATACACCTGGAAGCAATTGGAAAGCAAAGCACAGGACCGTGAGGAGTGGAAAATTCTTGGAGAAGGCATATGCCCCAGACGGGGTAGAAAGGCATAAGTTATTTCAGTTCAGGTTAGCTTGAATTGTGATCTCAAAACTTGAGCATCAAAGAAATTTTTTTTCCCCAGGGTTCTAAGAAAGGGTAACAACAAAATGACTTCTGTATATAACAGCATAAAATGGAAGAACTTTTGGGTTAAAATAAATATACTATAAAAAGGAGTTTGCATAATACATGTGTGAAAGAAATAATGTAAACGATATAATATAGGCCTACTAATGCCTGTCTATACAATCATATCCTCTTGACCTACTCTCAATCTGCAACCAAATGCGTATCGGATCTGCAAAAAACCCCATCAATGTAAGTAGCGACCCCATCGACAGGCGGTTATAATGGTATTAGTATGACCAGTGATTTTTAAGTAGTATAATATTTGAAAGAATTTGCTATTTTTTTTGCAATGTAGAGATTTTTTCACAGAAAAGTCAGGGGTTCGCATCATACATGGATCATATTATATGCAGTTTCAAAATCTTTATGTATTTCATTTAATGTGGTGATAACTTTAAATTACTTTTTTACCTTTATTATCTGCATCAATCTCTTGCTCTTCAACAAGTTTGGTCAGAGATGCTGTGAAAAATATCAAAGATAAAGCTTAGTTAAAAAATATAACATAACCACACTTGTTGGATGCAAATGAATATTGAAAAATTCAACTATTTTGTGCCAACGGTTTTAACATAAAAGATCAACCATATATAAGAACATGCATATTCTTAGGGACATCAAACTTACACCTGACCATTCCTTTACTTCTGAACTGCACAGTGATTAGCATCACAAACTACTATTTCCGGTAAAATCTTCAATCTAGCTGTTTATTATAAAGATTCCTAACCTAAACCATATAACAATTTTGGCACAATCAACAAAACATACCTATTTTAGCTTCAATAGTACTGATAGCCAGTTGATAATGTTCAATTGACAACTTAAAGTCCTTGCTAAGCCCATAAGCCAATCCCAGTTGGTAGTGTGTCTCTGCAATCAATCTGTCATCAGCTGGCAAGTATTTTTGTTGGATTTTAAGCGCACTCTGTAAGTCTTCAGCTGCTGTGGCATGTTGTTCTAAAGAAATAAAATTTTGTTAAAATATTAACAAGGTGTTTATAAGCTATATACCAAAAGTAACAGATCTAAAACGGCAAATGTCAAAGAGGCTATGTTGGACAGTTGCTAAAACAGGTCTTTCTTCAGAGGAAACAATTTTTATAGTTGAGCACAACTTTAGCTCATACAGAGCTTGTCGTGAAGAGGGCCAGAGTTTGAAAAAGGTGTCAGTTTCAATTCCAAGAGAAATTTAACAAGATGGTACCAAGTAATATGGTTTTGCCGCCTATTGTTAAATTTGTTTTCCTGTTCTGGAAGTGTACTGTCGCATTGGAAGGGTGAGACTGGTCCTCCAGTAACTGTTTCAAAAAATTAATATCATGCACATGTTCTGCAGATTCCACATTCACCCCTACCAAGTCTACGACAAACATTTTGAAACTTAACATCTGCTATATGTTCAACGTTTGAGGACATTTGTTAGACCAATTCTGCCAAACAACTAATACAATAATCAATCCAGTTTGATGTTAATAAAAAAATTACAATGAGAACAATGGTGAATATGTATCTTACTAGTGAATGTATCTTATCTTCATTTATTAATTAAGTGATATTTATTCAACTAACCTGTCTCCATGCTAACCTCGCCTAGCTTTATATGACATTCAGCTGCTTTTAATTGGTCGTCTTTACTGTCACTCCTGTAAGCACAACGAAGGGATTAAATTAAATCTATGCACAGGGAGTCAACTTCTTTTAAGAAGCTTGAAAAATTATATTTACCCTAATAGCAGCCAGACTATTCCTCATAACTAACTACCACTTGAAAAAAACTGCTCTTTAATAAATGAAACCATTTATCTGCATTAGATTATATTTTGGTCGACAATCCAAAATCCTTGCAACCACAGAACACACGGAATGACTCAGCTTGTCAGTGTCCCGATGCAGAAGCGGGGTCACATCCTAGATTGGCTAGTTGTCAGGAGGACCGTGCAGCAATGATCCGCAACCTTATTATTGAGGACAAACTTATCTCTGATCACTTCCCAGTCGCCTTCGAATTTGACTTGAGGAAGCCAGTACGCCTTCTGTGCACAGTCACATCCCGTGACCTCCAAAAGATAGATCTGGTGGCCTTAAAATGTAATGTTGCTGCCCTTGGGTGCAGTGAAGACCCTGCGACAGACTATAACAGTGGCCTCAGAGTCATATTAGACAATGCACCACTATCCACACAGCGCGTTACGGAGGGCACTTCCGCCCGATGGCTCACGTCCGAAATAAAGGACGCGAGCAGAAGCAGCGACGTACAGAATGCAAATGGCGGAAGTCGGCTTGACTGTGCACCGACAAATCTTTATTGATCACAGGGAACGAACAAAGACGTTGGTACTTGCAGCTAGGACTGAGTATGTCAGTCACCATATTGTAGAGTGTGGCTCTGCTGGGGAATTGTTTAGTATTGTGGGTCAGCCGACAAGTAAACAGAAAGACACATCTTTGCCAAATAACATTGCCGTGGGCCAGCTGCCAAACACTTTCAATGAGTTCTTTATTACGAAAGTTAGGAAGATCAGGACGAGACTTAAATTTGCACTGATGCTCCCTAATTCTTGCCGTTTACTCCTTTGAGCAAATTTTTGGAGGTCACTGAAACGGATGACTCCCCGAAAGTCATGTTTGCTTGACCCTCTTCCGGCATGACTGTTGAAAGAATGTTTAGATGAAATAGTACCTATCATAACTTATAAATAAGTCTTTAAAATCTGGTATTGTTCCATCTTTTAAAGAGGCGGTTGTAACTCCACTGCTAAAGAAGGTGAATCTCGACCCAAATGTGTTTGAAAATTATCGCCCCGTCTCCAATCTACCATTTGCATCGAAGATTTCGGAGAAAGTCGTTCGCCAGCTCCTGAATCACCTCACTTGGTGCAACTTGTTTGAGCCTTCCCAGTCAGCATACAGGGCGCATCACTCTACCGAGACAGCCCTGTTGCGCGTCGTAAATGACCTTCTGTCATCTTGTGGCGAGGGCAAGATATCACTTTTGTCGTTACTGGATTTAGCGGCTGCGTTCGATACGCTTGACCACGGCATACTTCCCCAACGTCTGGAAAATACTTTCGGTTTCACCGATACCGGCCTGAAATGGTTCCATCCGTATCTGACAAATCGGGTCCAATCAGTTAGCGCAAACGGCGTGCCCTCAAAGCAATCTATCATCGAAGTCGGAGTACTCCAGGGCTCGGATCTATGCCCGGTGCTGTTCACTATGTACGTTCAGCCCCTGAGTGCAGTGATCAAGCAGTTTACATGTTGGCGGATGATACCAACTTGAGATATCTGTGCTCCCCTCTCAGTTCCCTCGGCTTCTTAGTATGACATAGAAGACAGTGGAGTCAGTTAAGCACTGGATGACTATGTACAAGCTTAAATTGAACAATGAAAAGATCGAGCTGATCCCCATTGCTACCACTCAAAAGCTAAAATATATAAAAGACACACAAACCCTTACTTTCTCAGGTATACAGATAGTTTGCTCAAACAGTGCAAAACCTGGGTGACTAACTATGGAAAATCACATTAACATGCTTTGCAAGGTGATTTTTCTAGAGCTGCAAAGAATTAGTCATATCAGACCTTTCTTAACATTAGACGCATCGAAGAGGCTGATGTCTGCATTCTTGCTTTCACGCAGGGACTATAGCAATGCTCTTATGGTGGGTCTTCCAGCAACGCTTGTGGATAAAATTAAAAAAGTACAGAATAATGCGGCTCGCATTGTTCTCAGAAAACGCAAATTCAACCATGCTAAAACACTTCTGAGAGAGTTGCATTGGCTGCCGGTCCACGCTCGCATTGAGTAGAAAATTTCAACTCTGCGCTACAGCTGCTTGCATGACCTGGCACCGTCCTAGCTCAAGCGCTACTTACGCCTTATGTACCCACTAGACAACTCCGCTCATCTGATAGTGGCAAACTCGATACGTGTTCGCCTTGAGACTTACAAGGGGCGCACTTTCGCATTTGCTGGCCCAACAATTTGGAACACTCTCCCCATCGCTATCAGAAACAGCCAGACACTGGAGTCTTTCAAAACTGATTTGAAGACTTATCTTTTTCACAAACACCTGCTGGGGTGATGTTGCCTACCTAGCTATTGTCTTTTAAATGTATATTGGCCTGTGTTGTTTATGGTTGCAAGACTTAGAATGGGTATTCTTTTATGTAGTTTTGTAATGTTGAATTTTGTACTTCAATGTGGTACGTACCGCGCTTCGAGCTTTTGGGGATGAAGCTTGATTTTTAAATAATCTGTACCGTATTAAATGTTTTGAAAAAGAGGATATTTTCAATGTAATTTTATCATGGACTTTTTCATTTATACTGAACCTTTTTTTTTTCTTTTTTTTTTCTATAAATGTATGACATCAAACGGCCTTTTTGCACAATTATTTGAAATGATTTAGAATTACTGTATATATTTACTGAACTAGTTTATCTTTATCCTGAGCATTTAAAAGAAAAATGATTACTGATTTGAGAGATAAGCATTCAACTTTGGCATGAAAGTTGTTCGTGAGTTAGGTTGCACCAGATTACAGATAAGGCTAAAAATTTAGAATTTTGTCTACCAAGTAGAAGCCCCAAAGGATGGGAATGAGTTAAGTAGAAACCACAGTAATTTAAAAATTCTAAAGAATTATCCTGATAAATTGAAAAATACTGAACATATCCATTGATAACGTACTTCAAATAAATCACTTTAGCCAGATCAAGGTATTCCCAAGCCAGTTGAAAATTTGGTACATCCTGTAAGGAGAGATAAAATCAAATTTAAGCATATACTGAAATGATAATAACTCTTATAAATTACAAAAAATTAAATCATTTTAACTTAACTGCTTCATAGAATTGAATCAAAAATAGATCAATTAGCTGTTATGCATTCTATCAATTTAATTCAATTGGAGTCTGATGATATGACAACCATACAGCAATAATAAGATGTGACTGGGTAAAGTGCTAGTACCAAACTAATTGGTAGCGTGGCTAAGATAGAGATAGCTATAACTAGGGGTGTGCCGGAGTCCGGTCCGGAATCCGGTTCCGCCGGATTTTGCACTATCCGGTGAAATCCGGTTCCGCCGGATTTACATGTATCTGGAACAACCGGATTCCGGAATATACCGGATTACGGAATTTGCCAGATTTTGTGACTCACCGGATCATAATCTGAAATAAAAGTAATTCTCTTTCCCGAATTCCACACGATCACGATACATTAATCGATTGTTTCGAGCGTTGAGCTTGTTTAATGTTTAATATTCCGTACATACCAGAGGCTAGAGTCAGCACCGCTAATAGTGGCCAATAGTGTAGGGACTTTGATAAGAAAATTTAAACTTTTTGTAAAAATAAACCAATGGCATAGTTGAAAAGATGTAATTTTTTAAAGAATTATAACACCAAAATCATATTTTTAGCTGTTGTAGTTTTAAAGTTATGAATTTTTAAAGTACGACTTGGTTTGTCATTTTTTAACATGGACTGCATCTCCACATTCTGTGATCTCATTCCGCCAATCCCGTCATGCGCAATGACTATATAGTTTATATAAGGCAACGCATTCCCTGCCTTATCACTAAAATACTGTTTAGACTTAGTTTAAACTTTCAACTTTGGCACATGAATAATTAATTAAAGCTTTCCCTGACCAATGGTTTAATAGTTTTTGCACACGGCAAACTCTTATGAATGAAACTCTGAGGTAGTACTACGATACAGTTATGCAAGTGGCTGTGAATGGTTGCCAATGACAACGTGTTGCACACGGTAAATTCTGATCATTTATAATATGGATTCTACCGGGTTGTTAAAGCTCAAATTAAAACATTCCAGTTTAAATGTCTTTAAATGCATTCTGAAACACAAGTTATCAATTATTTTGATGTAAATAGTGATAATAAATTAATATTTCCTAAGTATCGTCAACTTCCGCCATTAAAAAGGGGGGCGTGGCCAACCCCATGGCGAAATTAGGTTGAGCGAGCTGCATAACCTGCTGCGAACGCGTAGAAACATGGCGTCTCTCGTAAGACACTTATCCAAATGGAACGGAACTCAAATATATATCGAAAGTACTAATTTAATAATAAATAGACACACACATCGGAAAATTAAAAACTCGGATTTTTTGGCGCCGATTGCGAATTCCCATACACAAAAAGTAGTAGTCCACCTTGACTTACCGAAGTATCTACCAATAGTACCAAAATCCGGGAGAAACCGGATTCCGGATTATTCCGGAATCCGGATCCGGAGGATTTCGCATAAGAAAATCCGGATCCGGATGGAAAAAACGGATCCGGCACACCCCTAGCTATAACTATGTCAATCTGATCTTGCTGATAGGAACATTTGAAACATAAAATGTGGGTGTTATGTAATTATATTGTGCAGAGAATTTAATCTCTTATTTTAATACATGGCTCGATAAACAGTGCACAACAAAGGACGATACTATTAACTAAATACAGTAATAAAGAAGGATAATCAAAGTAGGGCTAATTACAAATAATTAAGTTAACCTTATAAAGAAATTCAATATTCAAATAGAATAAAACTAAGGCTATTCACTTAAGTACAGCAATGAACTGGTACCGGCACAATGTTGGGAAGGTACACACACACAGTAAATATAATGTACAATGTCTACGGTCAGTACAGTATGTCAATCTATTAGTCTCAGTCTCTCTCTAGCTCTCTGTCGATCTGCTTATTTATAGTCTTTCATTTAATAGAGACTTTTCCAGAAAGGGGTTACGTCTTGTATCTGAGCCTGTCTCATAAGTTCTAAAGAGTTTGACTATAGACTATGTTTACATGTGGTGAAGGTAAAGGGAGACAATTTATAATTAAACCACACCCATCGTCGCAAACTTGGGGTCAGCCAGAGTTCATGCATGGGAGGCACAAGAAACATGACAAACACAAAGCAAACAAGGCAAGCTTCTACCTTAACTGGGAACGCATAAGGATGATGAGAATATGAAGTCTCTACTTATAAGTAATGAAATAAAAACCGACAACCACTGAATTTCTAGTTCATAACATCTATACCAGAATGGACTCTTTACAATACAATAAAATTGAGAAAAATAATACAAGTTCTCATTAAACTTTATGTAACATACCTCATCTTTTTCTTCTGTACCTTCTCCTTCTTGACTCTCTTCGCCATCAGCAGTTTCCTCTCCTTCTTCCCCATCTTCTTCACCTTCATCAACAGCTAAAAGACATTTAATATCTTCAATATTCTCAGCTCACATTTTGTGGAAACTGACAATGTGAGTGTCAAAAGCAAATTAAATTATCTTATATTTTCTTATCATGAACCGATCTCTCTTGGTGCAGTCTAATAGGCATCAGTACCAGTACTATTTACACATGTTTTTCCTAAGCTTAAAAGTATTTATCTTGTCATGTCTGTTGTTGGAGCCCAGGTTCCTCCCCTACCTTTTAAGTTAGGACCCTATTTTCTGCTATGAAAGCCCAATGCATCAAAAACCATTAAAATCACTCTCAAAAGAAATGTTAGAATATTATTCAGAGAACACTTTGAGAACCAGGGTTTTATAGCTTTAAATTCCAATGCGGGGAAAATGGATAAGTTAAAAAAGACAATGTATGAATTCAAAAGATATAACCCCTTTTATTTCAAATTTATTGATGAAATCAAAAGTGGAAGAAAAAAATAAAAATATATATTTATATTTGTTCAAATGATGCCTAATCATTTCTAAAATAACATTCTGTGAAATTATTTTTCCACAGAAATGTATTTAAAAGGAAATTAAGAATTAATGAAATTCTCTAAGCTGCTGGCGCAATTGTGATAAACTTTTGCTTAAATAAAAAAAATTAAGGTTTAGCACCAAGAGAGTAAAAGAAATTGGGAATGTTAAGTTCAACATTAAAAACATTTGAAGTTTTTTCTCTTTTGATGAAATGGTACAATCGATCCCCAACTTCTCTAAGTTAGTATTTTAATCAAATCTTAATTTAGTTGGTGGCCTTGATCACCCAAATATGCAACTTATATTTGAAGGTTGGGGACCTCTGGTACTTTGGTTATAAAACAAATATTTTTAAAAAGACACCCTTAACTTAGTTAATACAGCTAAAATCTAAACTGTAAATGAAATACACTTAACCAAAAGAGATTAGTAGAATAGGTTAGTATGACAAAGCAACAAAAAAATGCAATAAGCTTTTGAAAACACAAGCCAGCAGCAAAAAGAGATGAGAAGATGGGATAAATAGGAATGCGTACATTGTTAGTTACATTGATATAGAAATGTATTTAAAAAGTGGATTCACCCTCTGCATCAGCCATTTCAACATCATTTTCCTTCTCTTCCTCCTCCTTTGTGCCATTTACTGGAGCCTCAGCAGCACCATCAGCAGTTTTTTCACCTTTAGCGTCATTTGTTTGCACCTCTTCAACTTTCTCATCTTCCTTATCTTTGGACTTATCTGACTTCTCTTTGCTTTCATCAGTAGTTTCCATTTCTTCTTCTTTCTTTTCAATTGGAACATCCTTGGTCTCTGATCCTAAAGTAACTTTATCTGACTGAACTTCAGTGGGCATTGCATCATCTTTCTTTTCGGGCTCAACAGCCTTATCTGCAGCTTCTTTTTCTACAACATTCATTGAAACTTCACTTTTCGCTTCTTCCTCTTTGTTGTTCTCATGCTCTTTCTTTTCAGCATTAGAAGAATCAGATCCCTTTACCGTTTCATTATCTTTCTTCACTGTTTCATTATCCTTCTTCTCAGATTCTGCTGCATCTTTCTTCTCAGACTCTGCTGCATCTTTCTTCTCAGACTCTGCTGCATCTTTCTTCTCAGACTCTGCTGCATCTTTCTTCTCAGACTCTGCTGCATCTTTCTTCTCAGACTCTGCTGCAACTTTCTTCTCAGACTCTGCTGCATCTTTCTTTTCAGACTCTGCTGCATCTTTCTTTTCAGATTCTGCTGCATCTTTCTTCTCAGATTCTGCTGCATCTTTCTTTTCAGATTCTGCTGCATCGTTCTTTTCAGATTCTGCTGCATCGTTCTTTTCAGATTCTGCTGCATCGTTCTTTTCAGATTCTGCTGCATCTTTTTTTTCAGATTCTGCTGCATCTTTTTTTTCAGATTCTGCTGCATCTTTCTTTTCAGATTCTGCTGCATCTTTCTTCTCAGATTCTGCTGCATCTTTCTTCTCAGATTCAGCAACTTTCTTTTCACTACTGGCATCACCAATACAATTACCATCACCCTTGTTATCAGATTCTGCAGTCATATCCACATCTGCCATTCCAGCCTTCATTTCACTACTTTCCTTTTTTTTGTCTGCTTCAAGAGTCTCGCCTGCAATTGTTTCAGTAGTTGACTTAGCAGCTTTTTCATGAACTATTTTGGATAACTGTTCCTCTCTCTCCCCCTCAGCCATAGCTTCGTAAACTTCTTCTCTAAGCTGCTGGCGCACATTGTCTGTGGATTAAAATTTTGGTCAAACCCTGCCCAGAATCTACAGCTACAAGAAAAATGGTGTAAATATATCAAAAGACAAGCAGGAATATAAATAGTAACCTAGAAACTAATCTAAGAAAGAAAAAAAGAAGGAGCTTGATTGACAAGCCAGAGATGTGGCCAACCAGACTTTTCTAGTCAATTTTTATTTATTTTTTAAACAGACTTTGAATTTTTCAAAACCATGGCACGAATGGTAGTGGTTAATGAATAAATATTAGTAATCAACTAATTTGCTAATTGGTGCCTCCGTGTATGCACATCTGTTACTACAATCTGTTAGTTAAATAACCTCAGATTATTTCTTTCTTTTTTTTTCATTTCATTTAAAGAGTAAAATTGGCCATTAAAAAAAAGTTGAGGTTTGTTTTGTGCCGAGAACTAAAAGATAAGTCTAATTTTGTTAAAAACTATCATTTTCACCTGATCTTAAACCATGTCAAAATAAATGATAGTATGTTTACTAATGACCATGAAGGATGGGCAATTTTTTCCAGGTGGTGATCAGAGGCCAATTACCTTGCAGAGTCACAGGGCTTGGTAATCGAAGCAGGCTTAATACTTCCTGTTATTGTAATGATAAACTCTACTCCCTTCAAACCAATAGTACCGGTAACTCAAAATTGTAAAAAATTATAGTATTTAGTAATAAATAAAAAATACACACATGATCAAGATTTGCTCATTAGTCCATGTGATGAAACAGCTTGAAAAAAAAATTGAGCATTGAAAACCTATCTATTTCCAATACTTTAAAAAAGATGTGCCACAAAGTTAGACAATCATCATAGACATCCCAATCAAAGGAAATATGGTCAAATTTGTTTTACTGAGAAAATAAAGTCTGTCTTAGTCAGAATTCTGCAGAAATCAGAAAAAGTAACATCTCTGATAACCACCTTAAGGTATTACAATGTTACTGGCAGTTTCCAGAAACCATGCAGCAGTCAATGTTTTAAAATGTGTGAATTTGGAATTTGGAAGCAAGAATCCAATTCAGAATAATTGAAACTATATAACTTTCCATGTAATATGTAGTGAAAGTAAATAGCTTAATTCTACTACAAACTCATACATGTTTAAAAAATCTCCCAACTCACTCTCCCCTACCCAACCAGCTTTACCACCTCTAATATTACCTCCTACAGACACCAGACAAAGTACTTACAAACTCTTACTCCAACCTTGGTGCTTCTACCTAAACAACCCCCCCCCCCCTCCAAAGCCCTGTCACTACAAACTCATACATGTTTAAAAAATCTCCCAACTCACTCTCCCCTACCCAACCAGCTTTACCCCCTCTAATATTACCTCCTACAGACACCAGACAAAGTACTTACAAACTCTTACTCCAACCTTGGTGCTTCTACCTAAACAACCCCCCCCCCCCTCCAAAGCCCTGTCTTATACAACACAAAAGCTTTATTTCACCTCAGGGGATATTAGTAAATTATGGAAGTAGCGGTGCAGATATGAAAAGCTGAGTGCCTGAGTAGTAGAAGAAAATAATGCCAGCCTACCGAAAAATGCTGGATAGTACAATACTAATCTATGCATTGCCAGTCATTAAAAATAAAGTTTACCCATAGGTACCATTAAACAATTTATCCAAGAAAGCCGTGTGGGAATAAAACTAAAAATAGAAATTAAGAATAAATCGTTTCAGTAAAATTATATAATAAATAAATGTGACATATTTGAATATTTTATGCAAGTGCCATTTTTAAATTCAGCATGTAAAATTAATTTTTAAAACTCTTAAATGTTGAGGAAAATTTTTCCTTTAATCGTTGCTATAGAAGACCCCAAGAAATCAATAGATTGCAAAACAACTAAACTCTATAATAATATTATATGTTTTGCAAGATTAACTTTGAAAGATGCAAGATGACGAAAGTAATAAGTTTTAAAAAATCACTACACAAAAAGAATATATAGACCAAGTAGGGACATCCATATATTATGTACACATTTGTGCACTAATATAATCTTTACATGTTTACATATCGCCATAACTACAACAGAGCTGCCCTTAATGTTATTTACAAACTATTGTGAAGTATCATGTTATTGTATTTGTGTTGATATAACAGTGAATAAAATTTCCATTTTATCATAAATAATTTTTAATTTTTATATGCTTCTTTGGAAGGCAAAATATATTATTCCCACAGATCCCACGACGCACACATTCAAAAATTTCAAAATTAAAATAAAGAAAGCTACTTTGGTAGAAATGTATTAATGAAAAAAATATCCCCATACAATAATAAAGAATATTTAGCCAACACAAGCATATGATCCAGCAACACTGGACTATAATTAAGGTACAAGAAAGAAAGGCTCAAAACTTCTTTACAGTGTACATTTAATAGTAGTTGTTACACACAGATATTGTCTTTTATTGTAGTATTTGATCACAACACTCTGTGCGTTAGATTATTTAATGATCACTTTTGGGCCCTGTGCCTTATTGTGAATGATTTTATTATAGCTGTTAAGTGGCTTCAGTCTGCCCTATTGTATGTGTGATGCCTTTGGAAGTTGGTGCGTGAGGAGGTAGTACTATATTCTTCAACTTAAGGTGGTTTCAGGGGGAAAATATCAATATATTTTTTTATCAAAAATGAGATTATGGTGAATTTAGCTAGATAAACATCTAAAGAATATTTTGGTTTTTACCATTTTCATAAAAAAATAATTTTAAAGTAGTATGGTAAGAGCAAATTTTGACCTCGGGGCAAAATTCACGCCTCATAGACCCCCCTGGCCCGCCCCTTGTTTTTATAATACAATTACAACGCAATATAGTCATATGTGGTATCGATCGAAAGCTTAGCCTATTTACTCGGTAATGGTATCGCCCACTAATATATCCAGAAATAAGCCTGGCCGGAGTTCTTTGTCCTGCAAACCATACAGAAATTCATTCAAACACATTTTCTCATTGGTCGAGATTTAAAATTTTAATTTATAAGCCATTATCATTGGTCGGCTAATTTTAGATGTGACCTTGATGGAACAAATCTATCCCACAATGCAATGCCGGTCTTCCATTTTCATTCCGTATCATTGCGTCCAGTTTGCATTAACTGTTTCCAACTATCAACTTTACTTTTGCAGTCTTCAAATAAATTCAAATTTGAACTTATTTTCTTGCTTTGAAAATGTAAGTTGAATTAATTATTGTATAATGTAATTTATAATAAATAGTTAATGCTGGTTTTAGCTGTTGCAGCGAATGTTGAGCTAGGTTTAGTATAATAATACAGTGGTCATTAACACTAGGCCTACTACTAATACTACTAGCTATATAAGACCACTTATTATTATTAGTATTATAATTTTATGAAACAGATATATACGCACACTGTAATAGATGTAGGCCTATGAATTAAATTAAAATCTGCTCTATGCCTAATTCTACAAAATTGTTATGCATAAATATAGCATAACGAAACGTTCCTTATTCTGTTCATTTACGTTTGTGTTCTTACACGTGTCTAATTTGGTATAATAATAATTTTTTTTTTTTTTTTAAATTTTCGTTGTCAGTGACAACAATATTGCTATGAGATGGTAATCATAATGAAATGATAAATGTCAATTAATGAAAAAATTGAATTTGAATAAGTATAAGCCTAGATTTTCCAATTTGTTTTTTTTTTAAAAATAAAACAAAAATAGTAATAGAAATGTTTCTATTCCTTATATATTTTATAACAATAATATTGAAATATATTTACCTTTGCCTAGGGGCTTAGCTGAATATAGATTTATTTTATTTTTCAAAAGCTAATAAAAACATTTTTTTTTCGGTTCATAATATAGAGAATCATGGCCCCCAAGACCAAGAGATGCAAGCAACTTGAGAAAGCCAGAATAGCGCAAAAGGAGAAAAGTACCAGGGCCAGGGTTCAAACTTCACAGCCAGCTTCAGCACCAGCTTCACCACAAGCTTTACCAATAGCTAAAGGAGCAGAAGAGTCAGAGGCATCGTCTGCATCAAAGAAAAAACTTAATTCTTTAGAGTTTCATCGTTCCGTAGGCCTCTCTGCCTCTTCTATCATACAGATAGATGCCCTCCAGCCACTATTTGAAAAGTTTCAATGCCTGCAATGCCAGGAGGGACACTTCATGGCCAATGATGAAGAGAAACGCTCTGGGTTGGCATTAGTTTTACAAGTCGTTAGTAATTTATGTGACTTTGTCATCTCATCATCTTACTTGTCAGTTGTATGCAATGGCAAAACTTTTGATGTCAACAAAAGAGCTGTGGCAGCATCATTAGTGACTGGATTGGGGCATGCTGGTATGGGGAAGTTTTTCGAAATAATGTACCAAACATTCATCAAAAGACATTCGACCAGCATGCTACCATCCTGCATCAATCACTACCAGCCTACAAGGATAAGTTGTTGGAGCTTGCAGTGGATTAAGTGAAGGCAGCTTATCCGGAGCAAAATCAAGAAGAGGTAGTAGACATTGATGTGTCATATGATGGGAGTTGGCACACTCTCGGCCACAGCTCTAAATCTGGCATCGGCTGTGTCATTGAAAACAGAACTGGCCTTGTTGACTGAGCGCCTCTCAAAGTTTCGCCAGAAATGTTTGACAACGGGTAAGAGGATGAGGGAGGAGAGTGAGACCAAGTATAATGCTTGGATGGAGGCCCATAAAGTATCCTGTGATGTCAACCACTCAGGGTCTAGTGGCAGCATGGAGCAACAGGCTGCTGTTGCAATGTGGGGCAGGTCAATTCCGAAACATGGTTTACGTTATCGTACTGTTGTGTCAGATGGAGACACAAACACTATCATGTCGATACATATTTCTAATCCGTATCCCGGCTTGGTAGTGGAAAAACACGAGTGCGTAAACCATGTTTCGAAACGACTTGGAACTGCTTTGAGGACCCTGGTGGATACAAAAAAAAAAGCAAAAGATAACACTTGGTGGTAAGGGTGTTGGACGCCTTACCCAGGACTAAATCAAACTCGCGCCTTACCCAGGACAAAATCAAATGGCTACAGAAATATTTCACTAAGGCTGTTAGAGATCAAACCAAAGTGTGGAAGATATGAAGCGGGCAATTTGGGCAGGATTCTGGCATTGCACTTCAACTGATAAAGAACCACACCATGACTGCCCAGATGGTGAGACGTCCTGGTTTTTTTTTCAAGAAGGCAGTGGCTAAAGGTTTAGTTGTCCTTAAACATCTTTTGCATATTTCAACATATCTAAACCCAACGGTAGCTGAATATGTGAAAGATGTTTACGAAAAAATGACCAACGAGGACTTGCTACGCCGCTGCCTTCAAGGAAAAACCCAGAACGTCAATGAGTGCATCCACTCACTCATATGGTCCTAAACGCATTTTTGTCAAATGGTCAAGCCTGGAAATTTCTGTGGCCGTGGGTGTTGGAGAATTCAATATGGGTTCAAAGGCTCCCAAGACTTTTTATCTTCTGTTGGCTTAGGGATAGGGCATAAGACACAGTTGGGGGAAAAGAGGGATATGGTTAGAGTTAGGAAAGCCGAGTCGGCTTTAAAATTAAATGTAAAGAGGAGGAGGGAACTAATTAGAGGGGCGGAAATGAGGGAATCAGATAGACTTTTACTAGTAAAAGGGGGTGCGCAGTATTTAGCGGGGGGCTCAAAAGATTTTTGAATTATTAAAATTATTTAGGATGCATTTCAACATTTTCTCGCTCTCGTCCTTGAATTTGTTTTACATAACTTATTTCACTGTATTTTTCATTATTTTCAAGTAATGAATTGTTTATATGCTTATTTAATTCATCAGCTAAATTAGAAAGTGTCTGTAGCTGTTTTTATTTATATTTTTCATTTTGATTTTTTCTTGACAAACAATTTTCAATTATTCTGTTGTTGCCAGATGTATCAAGAGGATTTTATATTGTTTTTTTTTTATTTACGAATGGTATATGTAAATGTTAAATGCCTCTTATATTGTTCAAGTAGTTTTAATTTTTTAAAAATGTTTTTCGTATTCCTCAACCATGCGTTTTTTCAGATTTTTTAGAAACGCCAATCGAATCAGGTGGAAAAGTATTATAGCTACAGGCTTCAAACTATTGATATTATTTACATAGTGACACCTCCTTTCTCTGGATCTGTCCTACAGAAATTTTTTAATTATTTTTGTTATTATTCATTTTTTATTTGGGACGGGGGTTGTTATTTTGAAAACATGACTTTATTAATTTTCTAACTTTTATATCTGTGTTTTTGTATTGTTTTTTTAATTTATGTTCATGTACATGGTATATGCATCCTATATTGTTCAAGTAGTATTTATTTATTTTTTAAAATTATTATTCGTTTTTTTCAACTTTGCGTTTTTCAGATTTTTCAGGAATGCAAAATGTTTCAGGAGGAAAAGTATTACAGATAAGTGCTTCAAACTTTCCATGCTTCTTACCATTAGTATTATATACATAATGACACCTCCTTTCTCTGGATCTGTCCAACAGAAAATTTTTAATTATTTTTAATGTTAGACACTTTTTATTTGGGACAGGGAGGTTGACGTTTGAAAATATAACTTCGTTAATTTTCTATCTTTTATATCTCTGTGTTTTTATATTGGTTTTTCATCTATGAATAGTATATGCACATGTTATATGCATTAAATCTTGTTCATGTAGTCTTTAATTTTTTTAAAAAACATTTTTGGACTTCTTTTTTGTTTTTCATGACTGCCAATTGTATCAGGAGGAAAAGTATAACAGCTACAGGCTTCAAACTTTCCATGCTTCTTACCATTTACATTATCTACATAGTGACACCTTCTTGTTTCAGATCTGTCCAACAGAACTTTTAAAAATATTTTTTTACATATGCTGCCACTGGTGTTTTGCCAAAAAATTATGTGACTCCACAAGTATGTCATTTGTAGATGCTCCAATAACTGTAATGCAGAAAGCTGGGTGTCATTTTTTTTAATAACTGCATTCTTAATGAGTGTGCAAAGTTTCATTATGATGTTGATAAACCTTTAGGTGTTGATACATTTTGCGTAACTGTCAATATTTGTATAAAATTATATATTTTTTGCAATAAGAGTAAAAAAATTTTTTTTTTTAATAAACTACTATGGTTTTTTGTCTTTCTATTGGTGTATAGTAAGTTATGTACTAAAAAAAATATGTAATTTAAGAAACATAGCAAAATTTTTTTTGACCCATGGACCACCTTAAAGGAATCTTCATTATATACGTCTGATTTAATGTAAAGCCTGATATGATTCTGGATTTAAAATTTATATTGCTCTTGGAAAAGCACTTTTATTTCCACATTTTGATGCAAGAAACCAATCATTACAGATCATGACAGGGTACACTCATTTTGAGCAATTTCATATTTCATGATTTCAATTTAGCACATTTAATTACAGACTAAGAGTCAAAATGACCCAGTTTTTTTTAAAATTACATTTTTAGAACTGTATGAAGCTTTATGAATGTGTACAAATTGTTAAATTTATTGAAATCTAACAGATACCATATTAAAATTTTTAATATAGAAATAGAAGTACATGCTGGTGTCTAAATTTAAGAGCTAAGTTCATTTTTCCACAAAAAGGTTTGAAATGTTCTGGTATGAGACTGCAATATACCCTGTTAATTTTTGGGAAATGTATTTTCTTTTAAACACGTCAAACTGTGCTGCTTGTTAATCAGATGGCATTTGCTTGAATGTGTTTACTTTCTTTGTATGTTACGCCACTTTGGTTCAGTTAAGGGTTTGATGTGCATACTGTACAAGATTGTATCGGATAACTGCAACAATTAACATCAGCTGATCAATGGTGTTTTTTAAGAAATTGTTCACCTTAAGTTGATGTAACAAGATTAACATTGAGCTGCTTTTTTAAAACAACCACTTGCACTAATTGATTTAAAACTAAAGGCCTTAAAAAGCTTTTAAGGGAAGGTGTGGTTAAAAATTTGGATACAACTAAGATGATTAAAATGATTTTTTGCATACATAATTAATGGATAGCCCCTTTGTGCTTTATTTATTTCTGAACCATTCTAAAAGCAGTAGTGTTTGTGGGATAAGTGGATATGTAGCATTGCAAGAACTAGAATAGCTCTAAAAATGCAAATTTGAAAAATCACAGGAAACCTTACCATCATCTGCAGGGGGTTTCTCAAATTGTTCATTTTCTTCTTCCTCTTTCTCTTCTTCAACTTCCACTATATGAAAACAATTTAAAATATCATTCAAACACAAAAATTGCAATACCCATCATACCAGTAACAAAAAGTTACCTTCAACGTTTCTGTACCTTAAACTAGTTCTTAAAGTTAAAAAAACAATATTTTACTAAAGATCAAATTATTTTTCTAATATAATGTGATCAAATCAATAAGAACTTATTATTGACCTACCTCCCTCTAAAGCTGTACCCAAAACATTTGTTTCCATTCGACCTAATTCTAAAAGTGCTGAGCCACAGTTAAAGTAAGCATCAGCACAGTCTCGAGACATCTCACCACATTCTTTGACACTGATAAAATATAGAATTATTTTTTATTAGGACTGGTATCAATTTTTTGGTCATATCCTCTTAGATTGCATTCAACTTACTGGTATTACAACACTATTCAGCCCATAAATAAATCATGTCACACCAGAAAATTTTAATATCAAAAGCCAATTTCAAATAATACATGTTGGTGAAATATTAAAATTTACATTAATAATAAAATTCTTCTACCGCATATTTTGGTATATAACTTAACTTCTGTTTTAAACTGTGCATTTTTGTTTCTAAACAGAACTATATTGAGATCTTCAAACAAGTTTTCAATTTGCAATTATTTGTTGCTTTTGTCTACAGAGAAGGCATTAAGCCTTAGCCAAAACATTTGATTGTCCTACCTTCCATCCCCCCCCCCCCCCCCCCCCCCGAGCATTAACATATCTTGTTCCATTTATTTAAATTTCAAATAAGCATTCCACAAATATGAAGGTTAAATAAATAACTTACAGCAACCTCACTGCTTCTTCAAACAAATTTACAGCCTTTGGAACATCTTCACATACCATACTTCGTTTGCCTTGAGCCAAAAGGTCTGCTGCTATTTTCAAGGCTTCGATTCTGCATTAAAGATACATTACTATAAGTAAACATTTTCTAATCTATAACTTGAATTTCTTATAATTTGACCCAGTTTAAACTTAGTCTGGGGAATATGCTTGCTGATTATTAAATTAAATGTGGCTTTAAAAAGTTACAGGAAAACATTGAGAATGCGGATGAGATTCAAGGTGTAGAGACATTGACTTGTGAGAAAACCATAGAAAAAAGTAGAAGCAGGAGTCTGGGAATAGAAGTGCGTGAAGTGAAAAGGAACAAAAAATAGTTGACCAAGGGAAAATAATAGTTAATATTTCTGAAATAGACACAGTGCTTCAATATCCATGAGACAGAAAAGGAAAAGGTTACAAATCAAGAAAGTAGTGGCAGAGTGAATTTCTCTACAAACTACACAGGCCTTTTGCTTTCAAATAGGAAACTGAAGCAATTAAATTAATCTGAAAACCAGTCTTTAAAAATTATTTTGCCAGTAAAAGTAAAAGTGGATTTGAAAACGTTTGGAGCACCAAATAATTGCTAATACAACTGAAATTGGACAAGGTAATCAGATTGGAGGGCTGTTTTCAGACAATATGGACTGAAAAAATGCTCTCCCCAACATGATAAATGGCAAGACACAGATGTAAGCCCAAACGCTCAACAAGGCAATTACTAATTGCAGAGCGAAATTAAACACATTGCATACTACAATCTTAATGAGTGACAAAGGTGATTAGAAACAATTATGTAGTCTAATGTAGACAAAAGAAGGGGTAGGGGGTGAGAATGTGTGATGTAATTGAGCGGAGAAGACCCAACTTTGTGACCATGCTGTCATAAATGGATGGCCCCTAGGCTTCAATTTCATGATTTTTACACAGAATAACATTAACAATGTCAAACTAAGCCCTAGACTTATATTACATGAATTAAAAAAAATGAGGCTCAGGTCCCAACTCTAAAGCAGACAAAGAAAATGCTTGGCTTGCAAAATAAATAGCAATCCTCCTAGCCTACTCCTAAGACTGATAGTATTTAGTATAGTAATAGTAATAATTAAAAGCAACTAAGTAAGTTGGTCATGTCATAAGATGATGACAATCCTAAATAAAATATATGAAAGTATGCAACAATGCAACTATTATATTATTTATAGAGACATGCCATCTTACTGAACTTCCTGCATACAGCACGGCAATAAAAAAAAATTGTAGTATGAAAAGTATAAGTCTAATAAGACTTAGCGGCAAATCATTAAATTTGCAAAAAACAAACAAAACAAGCAGAGCAGGTTTTTATTTTAAATTGGCCCAACATGCTAGCATAGATAAGTCATTCATTAGCCAAACAAGGGCATGGCAGGGACTGTAATGGGTCATTTTCATTATGTAGAAAGTCTACTCATGTTAACTGACCATCACCACTGACCGACCAGGACCACTGACTGAGTTTTGAAAAAAAAATATAAAAGCCTTTGTCTTGAACTTCTAAAATAAAAGTTGTAGCAGAAGTAGAGATATATTAATAAACATATTTAACGCAACATACTTTTCAGCAGAATCCATAGTAGAACTAGAAGATGTTCCTTCCGCTGTAGACATTTTCGATTAAAATTATCACTATCTGAAAGTCAGAAAAAGATTTCTCCGTGCAGCACACAATGACTGGTCAGTGACGCAGAGGAATAGTTTAACCTGCAGATGTAGGGGAGGGAAGAGGACAATAACTGGAGAATTATTTCGCGCCGTAAATTTTTTCTTTTAACAGAAGTGATACTCTCAAAATAGGTATCGGAGAGGGTATTCGTTTTTGACAAATAATTATCAATACGACTACACCGATTGCCAGATAATCTTGTCGTTCAAAATAAAATAAATTTATCCTCAAATTTGCTTTTCGGGATTTTAAGTTATAGGGACAGAAATTGGATGGGAAGAGGGCGTAGATCTCAGAGTGGGTTTCAAAGTGGTCGTAGAATTTCAAGAAATATTTTCATTTGTATATGATTAAAGTGAACTGTATAATAAGCTCTATTTATAAATAAAGGGGTGATGTTTGGTCAGTATTTGATGGTGATTCCATAATTTTTCATGCATCCTATTCTTTGTTTAATAATAGCACATTTAAATATTGCTCTTTAATAGAACGTAATTATCAAATCCTTTGTATTAACTTTGCTCTTGATTGTGTGTTTCTTTCTTTCTGTCTGAGTGTGTAGCAAAATTGTGGGAAGGCTATCTGACCCACTTCCGTCAACCTATTGAGCTGAAAATGGCTCTTAGGATCGTTGCCGATGACAACACATTCTATCAATTTTTTCAGCCCCACCCCCAAAAATCAGTTCTTCGCGTTTTTCGAGGGCAAGATGAAGAAAATATGAAGCTACTGACTTCACGGAATAAAATTCCAGATAACTGCGCTTGTTGCGAAATATTTTCTTTCTTTTTTTTTTTTTTTTTTTTTTAATTATTTGCTGAAAAAAATCTGCATTGTACAAGCGGATGGGACATCAGAATATTAATATAAAATAATAAAAAATGATTCTAAAGGATTTATGCGAAAATCTTTGTTTTTAAGGGTTGTTTATTGCTTTTAAATTGATGGTATAAATTGATTAAATAAGAGTAGATTATTTTATTCATTTTAAAAAAAGTATAAAAGGAAATTAGTTTTAATTACATTGTACGGTGCAAAATCGTTCATAAGCCGATTATTTTTTTTTATTACTCCTATCTAAAAATTTTTAAAGATGGATAGGTGTTGTGGTCGGCTTATGAGTGGGTCCTGGGTCGGATCAACCTATACATTTAATCATTATTTATTCTCATATAAATCTCAGATGCTAACAATATATACTCGTGCCACCGCAAACGTAAATTAATTGAATATATTTAAAAAGAAATAATATATCTTCAATATATGTAGATACAGTGCATCATGGTAGATAAAAGAGTGATTGTCCTCCCCACTTTTGGTCGACGAAGATGTTGGGGGGGGGGGGGATAAAGGATGCCATATGAAGTTTCCCGGGGGATATTGGGGGAGTGGTCTCCCATTAAATATTTGATATACTCAAAATGCAAGGAAGCGTTTGTGAGTATACATGAATTGAATTTGCATCGTTCTACCTTTAATAGGAGAGCAACAGAAAAAATACAATTGGAAATTTATGTTCCTTTGACCTAGATGTGTTTATATAAATCCTTTAGTTTTGTATTCAATAAATTTTAATATTGTTTTATAATTTTATTTAAGATTTTTAGATTACTAATTGAAATCTAAGTGTATAAAAATCTGCGCTAAAGAGGGGCCGGTACACCGAAATTATTATTATTTTTAGGTGGTTTTATATAGCACAGTACCCCAGCCTATGGCTAGGCTCACAGTGCTTCACATGAAAATTAACAATTACAGAAACGTATACATTTAAAAACAACAATTGGTGAAAAGCTTGACCTCACCCACCCAAGTACTATCTACCCCTGTCTAGACATGGACAGAACCCAGAAGAATCGAGCGTTGTTTATCAGTCGAGGGGGGGGGGGTTGAGAATGAGTCTACATGTGATGGTCGCTATATTGCGAATGCAAAATGGGAGATAATTCCATTGTTATTGGGGCACAGAAAGATGGTTCACCATATGTTTTAGTGCGTGATCTGTGAACAGAAAGATTACGCGTGTTTGCGGAGGAACGAAGCTTTCGAAGGGCGAATCGACAGAAGTTCAGTACGATGGAAAGGGCAGGAACCAGAGAATAAGTTGTGAAAGAGAACAGACAGCTTGTAATCACTGCTTGCCTGTGTAAGGGGCCAATGAAGTGAATGAAGTAGTGGTGTGACGTGTTCACCTTTTTTTTTTTTTTGCCTTTAGAACTAATCTAAGTGCGTTTATTTTAAAAAAATCGCCAAAATGAATAAAGAAATACGTTTTGTAATTCATCCGGTATACCACAATTTTAAAAGTGGTGGACTGGCCACCCCTAATGTAAATTAAAGCTTTTTTAAATTTTTGTTAAAAAAAAAAAAAGTAGTGGTGGGACGTGTTCACCTTTTTTTTTTTTTTGCCTTTAGAACTAATCTAAGTGCGTTTATTTTAAAAAAATCGCCAAAATGAATAAAGAAATACGTTTTGTAATTCATCCGGTATACCACAATTTTAAACGTGGTGGACTGGCCACCCCTAATGTAAATTAAAGCTTTTTTAAATTTTTGTTAAAAAAAAAAAGAAGACAGTTTTGAAAAATATGTCAAGAGAATTCCATTGTATAAAATTTAAAATGTGTATAGTATAGCATGGCTCGAAAGGCTGCAAGTATAGCATGGCTTGAATGGATGCAAGTATAGCATGGCTCGAATGGATCCAATTATAGCATGGCTCGAGTGGCTTCAAGTATAGCATGCTTCGAATGGATGCAAGTATAGCATGCTTCGAATGGATGCAAGTATAGCATGGCTCGAAAGGCTGCAAGTATAGCATGGCGCGAATGGCTGCAAGTATAGCATGGCTCAAATGGCTGCAAGTATAGCATGGCTTGAATGGATGCAAGTATAGCATGGCTCGAATGGATCCAATTATAGCATGGCTCAAGTGGCTTCAAGTATAGCATGACTCGAATGGATGCAAGTATAGCATGGCTAAATGCAAGTATAGCATGGCTCGAATGGCTGCAAGTCGGGTTAGTTTCATTCAAATCACTTGGACCAATTCGACCCCTCGATCATAGCATATTTTTAAAATGTTTTCTCCAGGTCCATTGAATTTTATCAAAGAGGAGACAAAAATACAGCGCCAGATTTCTCATAAGGCCAAAGTAGGCCATGGCCCAGGGCACAGCAACCAGACGCTCGTATATACAGAAGAAATGACAATAAATATTTCTACATTTTACAGCATTATCAAAAAAAAAAAGCCATATAAAGTGCATTAAAAAAATGAAATCCATAGACATCAAATAAATTGAACAGTATAGGCCATGGCCCAGGGCACAGCAACCAGACGCTCGTATATACAGAAGAAATGACAATAAATATTTCTACATTTTACAGCATTATCAAAAAAAAAAAAAAGCCATATAAAGTGCATTAAAAAAATGAAATCCATAGACATCAAATAAATTGAACAGTACATTCAGGGCCAGACGAAAAAGGGAGGGGGGTGTCGGGTAAACACCCTGAGCGCCAACATCGGGGGCGCCAAATTCGTCTTTATTTAGAGATTTATTTAGACATTTATTGGCAGATTTATTTGTACATTGAATTAACGATAATATGCCATGCATTTGACAAAGATAAAAAGCACTGATATTGTCTTTTTACAGAAAAAGACAAGGGTCTTACCCCCAAACCCCCGCCCCACTCCTAAATTTTAAGAATATTCAGTATGGCATTGCTGATAACAAGTACTATAATTGTAACATTTGCTAATACCAACAAACTTCTCAGCTTTAGCGCAAACCCTTAAATTTGCAAATAAACGCAACTAATGAAAGAAGTCGCTAACATTGGACATTAAGCAAAAATTGTTAATAGATTTGGAGTAACCAGAACGCTGCGACAAGTAGACAGAATGCTGGAACAAGTAGGCGAAAATCACGTGACAAGTGTACAGAATGCTGGGACAAGTACAAGTATACGTGGGCAGTGGGGGACATTGGGGTTCGCGTCACCCACTCCAGACTTCTCCATAGACCTCCCCTGAGTCGACTTTCTCTGGTGTCCCCCTGCTCTGATGGCAACCTGCGGTGGTGACATCCCAGTCTTGTATTTAACTAGGATCGGTTATGAGACAGTCCTGATTATAACTTCTACACTCTTTATAGTTAATTTCTGCAAACTTCTGCAATTTCACACTGACTCAAAAGGTAGAAATACTACAGATCGTTCACATCATATTTGTTGAAATAAATATGCAATCATGTTGTCCGCAATGTGCAAGTTATGTTCAACATTATAAAATATGTAGTAAAAATCTATCATAACATGCACACTATTGCGCATCACGGAAAATAAAATATATATAAAAAGATTGTTTAATTAGCATATACATTGTCAGAGAAATATTCTTCTTCTCCAATTCTTAGACGAGCCATTGCTATTTGTCTTATTAATGTTCTTTAGTCCGTGCGAAGGGATAAATCTGGCATACATAATTACATAATCGATTTCAATACATAAAAAGGGCTAAATAAATTGGTGATCTAATATATTTTTCTTTGTGTATTAATTCAAACACTGAGGTGTCAATTATATCAAATTAAGCTATTTAAAATTATTAGATTTATATATTTTATTTAGATTTTACGCTTTTAACATGTTTTTTACAGTTCAGGTATTATCACTGGTATTCGAGAGTTTCACCATAAACTTGGGCCGAAAATAGAAGTGCACAAATATTTTTGACGTCACTGCCTTTTCCGCAGCGGCCATCATAATATTGATACCTCGTGGGGAACTATCCCACATTTCTAAGGTAAATTTTTATTACATCTGTATTTATTAGCTGTATCTCATATATTTAGTTAATATCATTGTTTATTTGTCAATTTATTTTCGACCGTGAAATGTATGCATACACTTGCTTTGGATCCCATGTAACCGTTAAGATGGCTCTCTCGGTGAAGACTCAAGGTCCAAGGTGGAGTAACTTTTTCCAAGTTTTGCAAGATTCAGGTGATCCTCGGAATGTCACCGTAAAAGAGTGATTATCCAAAGTTATTAAGCAGATGTTCCTTAGTTTTTACCAGTTTTGTGTACTCTTACTTGTCCTTATAAATTTATAAATTTGTGTGGATTTAGTTACAAATGTGTGTGCATTTAGGCACACACTAATACTAATACTAATACTGTCACTGTTAGTGTAGTTATAAGTGTGTTGATGGTTCTGTGGTCACTGACAGTGACTAGTACTAGTACAAAGCGAAGGGCCTAGGGAAAGGCCTAGGCTTGCCGGTCATGCTGACAGAAAATACAGAATACTGAAATTTTTTTGGTCTGTTGCCGTTGGCAATTGTTAAAACTAAAACATATCTCACTCAGAATTTATTAATTTCATTCAATCGCTGCACTGTGCCAACCCAACTTGTTGGATAGAGTTATTTTATTGCATATTATATATTATTTACAAATTTTTATTATTAATTGGTTTAATTTACATTCATTTCCTTACTACTTAGCAGAGCAAACTTATATGTAAGTCATGTCCTAAACAATATTTAATTCCTATCTGATGTGGATGCTATAAATTTTGGGTGTGCTGTAGAAATTTTTATTTCAAATGCATTTGACCTGTCTAGCGTTACTTTTACCCACAATTAATATTAATATTATTATTACAGTGGCCTTATTTAGTGCTGTTCCCCAGCCTAGGGCAGGGCTCACGATGGCACATAAATGTATTAACAAACATAATGACATTTTTAAAAAAGCCGTATAAAAAACCCCCAACAAAAACTATTTTCAACCCAGAACTATTCAAATGTCAAGTCATGGACGGCACCCAGCAGCATCGTATATCGGATCGGCATTATCGGTCAGAGGGGAGTGGGAATCAGTGGGATAGTAGAGTTTGTAGAGATGTATCCTGAGGGCAGTTTTGAAGTCTTGGATGGTCGGTATATTGTAGATGTGTAGTGGGAGAGTTTTCCATTGTTTGGGGGTGCAGAAAGAGAAATATCGTTCACCTATGTTTTAGTGTGTGGCGTGTCTGCGGAGGAACAAAGGGGTGAATAGTAATAGGGAAGTTGGGTTGATAGAAAGGGCAGGAATCTGAGTAAAAGTTGTGGCAGAGAACATAGTTTGAAGTCAATGCGTGCTTATTAAGGGAGCCAGTGGTGTGACATGATCACGTTTTTTTGCCGTAAGAAATAACCTAGAAGCTGAGTTTTGAACCTTTTGTAGTTTTTCTATGTTGTGAACGTGACAGAAGAGAGTTGCAATTGTCAAGACGAAAGGGAACGAGCACTGACTAGGGTTTTTGTTGTGCTGTGAGTTAGTGGCAGATGGTGCTGATCTGACACATTTGTAAGGATAAGCTGATAGCAAAGTCAAAATTTTTGGCCTACCGCTTGTCATTTTGCAACCTAATCTACTCATTAGGAATATCTATGACTTAGGCACCGTTCATAAATGATGTCATTCATCAAATGGGGGTTTTGTGAATTTGTGACAATGTCAGTACTTGGACATTTTTTAAAATGAATTTATAGCTTTATGATTTGAGACGTAGTTATTTTGATAGGGCTTTAAAACACCAATTGATTGATAATTTTATAGTTGCACAAATTTTTTAAAAACGTTTATTGAATCATACTAGTATAAGTTACAGTATAAGAAAATACATAAAGTGACTATAAAGAAGCTGGGCAGAGACTTTTTGAGAGAGCTGCCACTCCTTGGTTATATGCTTTTTCATATTTCTGAGCTTCGATAAATGTTGAAATCCAGGGAAAATGCATGGAGGAAATATGCCCCTGTGGTCACTGTTTTAAAGCTTAAATTAAATTGGGGGGTGGGGTTGGGGTGGTTGGGATTTATCTGACCATTCTTGTAAATAATTGGATGTATTTGTATTTAAACAGTGGTTATCATGAAAATTGCTACTAGTGGAGATTGTGTGAGAAAAATTAAATAATTTTATTTATGGGTAGCCCCTTGTGTAGGTATTACAACTCGTATTTTCAAATACATCTCACATACACAGAGAGCATATCATTGGAAAGAGCTGGCTTTAAGCTTTCCAATGATAATCTATTTATCACTTATAGGAGAAAAGTTATGAATTTTTTAGTGCTTTATTTTTCCCCACTATTTGGCTTTGTAGTTAATTCTGAAAACTCAAAAAAATTATTACTCTTTTTGTACGCTTTTGTTTGTATCGTAATGGCTTTTAAAGTTAGAGTGCTGAAATTTGGAGGAAACATCTACAATACAATGGTTAACAAAACACACAAATTGTAAATTAACTTATTATATCTTATGCAATATTATTTTATGAGCATTTGATGGCGCTGTCGAAAAATTAATTTTTATAAAATATTTGCACAATTTTTGAACCAGTAAAGCTTTTGCTATAAAATTTTTCAATACAAATAGATAATTTCCATATAAAAGTAAGGCAATTTTAAAATAATTAAAAGGCAAAATCAGAAAATTTAAAAAATGGTTCATAAACAGCAACCAGGGCGTAGTCATGTTTTTTTACATATAAATACATAACTTTTAAGCTAATAAAGCTACTGCAATGAAATTTTCATTGCAAATAGATAGTGTCAATCCAAATGTACAGATATTAGACTATTCAAATAAAACAAAGGCAATTAAAATCATGCTATGCAAAATTCAACAATGTCATGTAATCTGTCAACATTAATGTATGTTTTGAAACATAACTTTTAAACCAATAATGCTATTTTAATGAAATTTTTAGTATTAACAGACAGTGACAATCTAAATTTAATAAATTAAAAAAAAAAACAACAACCCATAATTCACAACATTTTAGATACAATTTAATTATATGAAACTACATCTCGGTCGACATTATTGTACCCGTACATTTAAATACAAAACTTAAAATGATCTCATGCAGTATAGCTATCACAGCAACAGATGTTCTCCTTGTCCAGCTGAAAGTAAACAAAATGTTTAAAAATTAAAGTTAACAAAGCTATCTTAAAATCCTTAGTTTATCCCAACCCTTTACTGGCTTCTCCAACAGCTAACTTTATGAGCCCCTCTTGTTCCGAAACGCGTTTACCCAATAACCAATTCATGGTTTTGTTCACTAGGCCCTTAACCTTGGCATCAACTAAACCGGTTGAAGCATTAGGGGCTCTTTTAAATTGGGCATTGACCATCCCTAAAGCCCTGTTAATATGAATATCATGAACAGGGGCTGATGAGGTCAGGGCCATTAATTCTGCTGATGGATCATAAGGCTTATGCTTTTGGGTTTAAAAGTTGGAAAAGCGACACTCTATTTTCTATCACACTTTGATTGTTTTAAGATTAAAATCCATTTTGATTGATACAGTGGGACCTCATTCTATTGAAAATTTGGATTTAATCAGTCCATTGCTTGGCTCTCCAAAATTTCATTTACATTCACTGCCATTGTGTCTTATGCTGGAGAATGCAAGATTAACACAGATTAATTATCTTTATTTGAATTACTGTAAATGGATTAAAATGAAAGCCATGATTTCAGAGATATTCCACATGCTACTAATGACAGTATTAGCCCTAGCTGTGATGGCAACAATTTTAGCCTTAAGCTTAGTTGTATTGTAAAAAAGACAAAGTCGTTTAGGAAAGGGTGGAAATTGAACAGAAAAAGGCAAGGGCTGTATGTTGTATCCCAAAGACCTACCCAAAATACATTATTTTTGTGTATCTTCTGGAGTATTAATTAATAAATAGATTTAATAGCTTCAACTGAATAATAGGAATTTTTTTGCTTAATCCACGCCTAACTTTTGTGTTTTGTATGTCATAAATGTGAAGGTAGTGAATGAATAATATGCACAAATATTACGATTTTCAATATAAATAACTATAACTTGACATTTCTGAAAAAATTGATTTTATGATACTTAAAATTTAAACAATTTATGGAGTATTAGTTTCAGTTGAATTCAGAAGTTGAGTGCTAAGATTTTACTTACTCTGTAAAGGTCAAGATCATCATACATAATATAAATACTAATACTTTTCGTACCATAAGATGCCTTGTTCAGTGTATTTTCAGAAAATGTATGCTTGTTCTCTAAATTCATTAAGTCTGGGATTTTGTGAATTTTGACAAGAATATGAAAAGGCTAAAAATTGCTTGAAGCAACATAAAAATGTTCTTGACTGTCGTAGCTTATAGGTATAGGGTTAAAGAATGGGGTAATTTTTTGGACCATTGATTAGGCCTATTTTACATTTTTTAAAACTTAATGCAATTCTTTCTTTTAATTTATTTTGGTACAGATACAATGAATCCAGAAAAATTAAAACAGCTTCAAGCTAAGGCTGATGTTGTCCGCATAGGGGGCAAGGTATGAGTTTTTTTATATTAGCAAGGTTAAATAATGTAGTCAAGTATGTCAACCATATGATTGAAAGAGACAAGAAGATGTGAAAAGATAGTAATAATGGCGTAGAAGCTCCAATGGGTGTTCAAGAAGCAGGAGATTTCCAAGCATTGCCTTTATTTTCTAATATGGAAGTGGCTATTCGTAACCGGGTACCAGAATTGAGAGGTTGGGATTAAAAAAATAATAAAAATTTTGTTGAGTTTGTAAGACAAAATGAGGTATTAAATGAAAGAATTTAATGGACTAAATGTTAGTAAACTTTCTTCTTCAGTGTAACTAAAGTAAACTACCACAAATGACATCCGAATAGCACTGAGTCAAAGTGGACCCATACAGGCAGCGCCACCATTCGCACCTGGGTACCATTAGACTCGAGCTATTCGGAGGCCATTTGTGGTAGTTTATTTTATTTAACTGAAGATAAGCATTTTTATATATTTTTTACTTTTTAAAAATAATTAACTGGCAAAAACTATTGTCAGTGCGGTTGATTTCTGTCATACATTTATAGAAATATATGATTTTATTATTCAGGGTTCGGCCAGAAGAAAGAAGAAGGTTATTCACCGCACTGCCACGACAGATGATAAAAAGATACAGTTCTCTTTGAAAAAATTGTCTGTTAACATAATTCCAGGGATTGAGGAGGTATGTATATGGAATACTTCAAATCATATTTACCTCATGTTCAGTTGTACTACAAATCATAATAATATTTAGTTTCAGCATTTTTTTAAAATTATAGTGAATTGATATGTTTAATTACCACTTTTAAGAGAAAAATTACAATAAAATGCCAGAAATTTATATTTCATACCATTTTGAAAAATAAAACAAGCTGCATATATTACGTTGTCCTAAGAAATACCCGGTACCCCATGCATTGCGCCAGTGGTGACTAAAATAATTTTTCAGGGCAAGATGTTCTTTTCGAATAGCACTTTAGTTTTATTTTCTAAACTAAAATCTCCTGCTTGCTGCTTGATATTAGTTCTGAGGCCTTTATTAGTCTGTTGTTTTTTGTTGTTGCTTTAGAGCACTAGAAAAAACCCTATGTTAATGTATTATTACATTTTAAAACAATATTCAGTTTAGGGTTAAATTCTAAAGCCGATAATCATTTCTATTGATTAGTCAAAAAAATAAGCTATTGAAGCTTTACCTCATCTCTGCTGTTTCTTAATCTTTAAAAAAAAAAAGATGTTTTTTTCCGTATTTTAACAAATATTTTTAAAATTGAATAATAAAGTGACCGCTTACATGATAATGTCTCCTTATCCTTAGGTCAATATGATTAAGGAAGATGGGCAAGTGATCCACTTTAATAATCCTAAAGTCCAGGCGTCTTTGGCTGCCAATACCTTTGCTATTACTGGTCATGCTGAGAACAAACGTAAGTTAATAAACTAAGTTATTAGGTGTTAGTAAGCTATATGATTTATGAAAGGTTGATAATTTAATGTTTTTATAAGCATAAATTAATATATGCATTTAGTCTAATCAGGGCCGGATTAAGCCATCTTGGTGCCCTAGGCACAAAGCCACATGGGTGCCCCCTACTACCTCGGGCCCCCGATCTTTACTGACTGCTGGTATGTTCAATATTATGCAAAAAACTAAAAAAAACAGTTGTGAAATGTAAACACATATGTTTGTACTACTATCGCTCATATAAAACCTACAATAAGGTATTTCTGTATTAAAATTAATAGTTCATTAATTTTGTAATAATAGTAGACAAAAATACTGTAATTTTTTTTATAGACAATAAAGTCAGAGAGAGCACAAATTTACATTTTAAAGTTCTTTTTTCTAGATTTACGTCTGGCACAGTTTTTGGGTACATCATCAAAGTTAATTTTGCGCAACAAGTCTGTCTCAATCATCAGCAAAAATAAGGAATCAAGCCTTTCTTGTTTCATTGTTGATCTACTTGGATTTTTTTGTACGCTTTAAACTGAGAAAAAGAGCGCTCAGTTGAACAGTTTATAAACATTAATTTTAAAAATATGCGCAAGGTGATTTCTACATTTGGAAAAGCACACTCGATGTTGTCTCTATTACTTTGTAGAGTTCTGCATGACTGAACGTTTTGTTTTCAGATTTTGATGCACGAAACGTGTGACGAATATATAATAATAATAATAAAGTTCATTTCAAAAACACGCTTCATCCCCAAAGGCTCGAAGCGCGGTACAAAGTCAACAAAAAACATATCTATAATTCACCACATTTAAAACAAACGCAACACTACAAAAACTAATTACAAGCATACAATATCAAAGTCTTTCTAGCCATTTCAACCCGGAGCAACACAGCAACACATGGAAAATAAGGTAGACAATAATCCCAGAAGGTATTTGCGAAATAGATGTGTCTTTAGATCGGTTTTAAAGGACTCCAGTGTCTGGTTGTTTCTAAGATCGACAGGAAGGGCGTTCCAAATTGTTGGACCAGCAAATGCGAAAGTGCGCTTTCCGTAAGTCTCAAGGCAAACACGTGGTGTCGAGAGTTTGCCACTATCGGATGAGCGGAGCTCTCTATCCAAATTGTTGGACCAGCAAATGCGAAAGTGCGCTTTCCGTAAGTCTCAAGGCAAACACGTGGTGTCGAGAGTTTGCCACTATCGGATGAGCGGAGCTCTCTACTGGGTACATAAGGCGTCAGCAGCTCTTTCAGATAGGACGGCGCCAGGTCATGTAAGCAGCGGTAGCACAAAGTTGCGATTTTGTACTCTATGCGAGCATGCACCGGCAGCCAATGCAACTCTCTCAGAAGTGTTTTTGAGTGGAACTGTTGTAGTTCAGTATATAAATTATTGTTCAGATCTTCAGGATAAGCATTTATTAGTCCTTCACAACACTGAGATGTTTGTGGTACATCAACCAAACAAGAAAATCGGACTGCTAGATCATTATATACCTGTCCTCGTCTACTCATCTCTGTCTCAAGTTTGTCACCAATGGTGTAGAAAGCAGATATATAAAATTTGTCTCTTGCATTCTGAGATACCTCAGGGGCACCACCATCATTGACCACTGCCTTTCGTTTACGATTATGGGTCAAAGTTGACTTATAATCCACACCTGGTGTTATTTCTTTTGCAGCTTCTTCAAATCTTTCAAATTCATTCCTAGATTCATGCAAGTGATCTGCTAGTGAAGAATACAAATCAGCAAACGTTTTCTAGTTCAAGTGCTCATTTTGTAGACCTTGACTGATCCTATTCACAATTGTTTTCACTAGCAGACCAAAATAGAAGTGAATTTGTCACTACACATTAGTGCGTTACGTAGAACAAACATATCCCAGAAAAATAACAAAAAAAACTGGGTGGGGGGGTATTTTACCCCGGGGTTGTGGGACCAAGGTTAAATAATGTGCGATTCAATATTACATTTGCGATTTCCTTATGCCATGCAATTACGCTATGGGGACAATATACACATTTTTCTTGAGGACTTTTGGTGCCCCCCCAATGCTTTGTGCTCTAGGCACGTGCCTTGTTTGCCTAATGGTTAATCCAGCCCTGAGTCTAATACCCGGTACTTTCATTATACTATTTTTTTTTCAATTTGCTTTTTCAGAGATTGCAGAGATGCTGCCTGGAATCTTAAATCAGCTAGGAGCAGAAAGTTTAAGCAGCTTGAAAAAATTAGCGTCTACTGTAGCGAGTGGTGTGTAACATGTCCTTAATCCAAGTACCAGTTAATTTTGTGGTCTAATTTGAATTGCGGTTACAAGTGTTTTCTATTTTAAGAAGTTCATTTTAAACAAAAACATTTCCTCTGGGCTGTCTGTTTAGATATTCTTGTCTAAATGACTGATACATGTAGGAAATAAATTCATAGGCCCTTTCAAGTATTTAATTTGCTTAAGGATCTGACTAATTCCTTTGATGATGTGTTATTTTAAGGTGAATTTACTATTTTACAAAAGTCATGTTAATTTAACTTCATTTTAAAATTTTTTAAAAATTTATCAATTTGTAATATCGGTACCAAAAGAAAAGTTATTGGATGTATAATTTCTATTTAATGAGTTTTAGTACCAAAGAATTACTTATCACCCACTAGTTTAAGAAAACCCTTATCCATTTATGGAACATTAAATGTATTTAGCCTTTTCTATTGGAATAACCCAAAAGATGAAATGGTGGTCTTCAGAAACTGCATTTTTTTCCTTCAGAAATTTTCAGTTACAGCTCTGGTTCATAGCCAATATTTTATTATCATTATTTTACTAATCTTAAATTTACTTTTTTTACAACCGCAGCTGCTGACAGTAACAAACAGACAACAGCAGATGTTGATGACGATGATGATGTCCCTGGTATGTAAAGATGTATAAAGTTTAGCCAATTGGTAGATTACTTAAAGCCTTTCTATTAATCAACCATTGTTTATTTTTTAAAGAAAATTTTGTGGGCAAAGCAGTGTCTGGTCCACATTTTGAATTTGATATCAGTGCTCTAAAGTAACATAAAAGTATCATCAGGTTTGTCGTTTATGACCACCTGGGTATTGGATCTTGATGAGGGATTAAAGATACCTTTTCTCAAATGCTTGCTCTCTGAAATACAACTTCTCATAAACATATGTTACCAGAGTAGTGCTCACTACTGTTTCCCCACCTGATTTTTATAGTAATTATAATAGATTACACTTTCTGAATGTAATTACAAAATAGTATGCTAAATTACTGGTACCAACAATTTTCAATTACTGGTAGAAATGTCAAGGAATCAGCTTATTGGAATTTCTTTCAAATCGCTCCACAGAGCTAGTAGAGAACTTTGATGAAGCTTCAAAAGATGAGAATGTTTGAGGCAGAGGGTTGTTCCTGTTGTGCCCAAGGCCCACCTCTGAATGGACACATACCTAAAGTGTACAGCTGACTTTTGATTTCATACTAAAATTATACACACAGACACCACAATAAGACTAAGAAGTGCCCGTATGTGCATAGTTTTCTGTTTATGTTGCTGCGCCTTGGCTCAGCTGGTTTGATTGTGATGCAAGCGATATATATCAAATTGTCATGCAAGAGATATATCAAATTGTAGCAAGTGTTTGTATTGTAATAATAAAATCTCAATTTTTTCATTTTCTAGAAGTGTTTTCCTGCTGGATTTCTTTTGTGTTGTATGGTTGCTGCAAAATTAAACACTTTTACCACACTTGTTTTGATTGCAGATTTCTTACATAATTAAATTGCATGCACATTTTTAGTTAAAGTGTGTTGATCAATGAAATTTGTGTAGCTTTGCCGAGTTGATTACATTTTAATTACTCGGTACTGCTACATTTATTTTCAATTATTTTAATTTTGATTTAATTTTTTATTAAATGCAAAAGGGAGTTGGAGATTTGGATAAAATGTGAGTTCTACTTCTACCATGGCTGGTAACTAGAGCACATTTATATCCTTTTAAGATGGTTTTGGGCATCTAAAAAAATTAATTTAGTAACCAGTAGTACCGGTACTATACCAAGACTTGCAGTTTTGAATTCTTTGTGACACACTGCAAGATACCTTATAAAACACCAATCCTAGTTACTCTGTCATCTGTACTATCATGGTGATTTTTATGAATGAATGTCAAATTTAAAAACCGAAGGAAGGACTTTTAATAGTGAAGCTAAAATCACTAATTCTATTTTAGATTTTTTTACAATTGAATTCTTGTGCCATGTTATTATTAATTATAATGCCTAGACTAACTTTAATTTTTAGGAATATACGGGTGCTTGAACCAGATAAGTGTTATCAATGACTATGGTATGTCCTTTTCAAAAATTATATATTGGATATTAAACAGCATCCCCAACATTGCAACCACCCCCATGCAATTTAAAATTAAATTTAAAAAGGAAATGCAGCACATAATTAGAGTGAAGCTATGTCTTGTGGGTGTTAAGTTTAAACAATACATCCAAACAAATCATTTCAAATTAAATAAGTTACATTGGGAAATGGTGTTGGTGGGCTGTAGAGTTGTGCAAGCTCTTGATACCCCCGGCATGCCTCCACGCGGGCCAGACCCCGGGAACCTCCACCCTGGGCTGGGGGACATCCGGTCAACGGAAAACTCAGCGTTTAAAGCGTTTGCGGTCCACTCTCCCTAAGGGTCTGCTTCCACTCCAAAAATTCTCCAATTTTAAGTCTGTTACAATGTTAGTGTTTGGTAATGTTAACTAAAGAAATAAATTGGTGCCATTACTTAGGCAGGGATACATTTAGGGTTCAGGTTAAGTGACCCTGAATTATAAAAGTTCACGGGTTGTGGCAACCAAGATATCGGGCGTGTGATACGTCATGGCACCAGTTGTTTGCCTTTACCAATAATTGTATATTCATACAGGTAATATGAATTAATAGTTAGGAGTTAATAATAGATGGAGATAAAATTCACTAGATTATTAGATTCATTTATCATGCCTCCACTGGAATTTCCAGACTTTTAATATGGTTAAGATCAACCCCAGTATGTGTCCTGTGGAGGAGATTTGATGGCACACGTCAAGTCTTGAGCATTCCTAATTTGATACACATTTGAAAAAATAATTCCCATTCATGAAACATCCTGATTTTTATTACCTGTAGGATGTTATTTGTAACCACATCTAAATTTCCTTTAAAAAAAATATTTGGAGCCCAGCTTGTCCAAAATTGACTGATCCTCAACTCTGGTACAAGTACAATACAGGAATGTTTGGTAGTGGTATGCCTATTCAGCTTCAAACATGAAACTAGTGGTCAGAAAACAGAAATGCCCTAAGCTGAGACTTAAAAAAAACTGAAGTTCACTTGCATTACCTGGGGCATAAACTCTAAAATTAGAATTATTATTTGTTTATTTTGGGGAATAATTGTTCTGCCCATATTTTGTCAAAAAGTAAATACAATGAACAAACAAGTTCATTCCAAGAAATCCTTTATTATAAAAACAAAATTTCACAGATGCATTGCAAAAATTTCCATACCGGTATTTAAAAGGACCAGGACATTTATTTTGTCTCTTTGCCATTACTCAGTTTTATATGAAAGTAGAGTAAGCTCAGTAGCAGAGCCCATTATGATTACAACATTACAAGTAATCTCTTGAGTTGGGGTATATTTCACATTTTATTACTTTTAACTTTTAATAACTTTAAGTTAAAGTTTAACTATACTGCAACTAAGTACCTGTAAGTTGTATGGTATAATTGATTTCAGAAACTTGAAAGGAAATTAAATTCTTAGACTACAGGTACATTAATACCTTTTGGCAGTTGATACCAAATATAAAAAAAAGTAAAAGAACAACATTCAATATTTTTACAAAAGTAAAGACAAAAATGTATTGTCGGGCACATCATCATGAGGTGGCAAAATTGAAATTGATGTGTGTCAGTTTTATTTTAAAATTTTTAGTGAGGTGAAAACTCTTTAGCATCAATAAGGGAATAACATAAATTGTGTACCAGTGACAATTTCTAACATGTTCCGTGGGTATAAGAAATATGTAACTTAATGTAAGCAGTACAACTTTATGAAATTCTATGAAAGTGCATTCAACCAATTAAAATATATCTTTATCCATGGAATTAATCTATTAACTACTTATAGACCTCTATTGCACACAACCCTATTAGCATTTAAAAAAAAAAATAAATTCCTAAATGCTTGGGAATGAAATATCTATTTTGCTTGGAGTTTTTTAAATTAATAGGACCTTCCAATCACTGAATTATAATGATATGTATGATTAAATTTTAAAGAGTTTCACAAAGGTACCTATTTTATTATATTATAAGATAACTATTACTATTATACAGGTATTCTCAATGCATAGCTATACTACTCTACATCATCATCCTCCACTGCCCCTTTTTATTGGGGGTGGGGGATTTTACATTTTTTGTTGTACGGTAAAAAAAACAAAACGCAACATTTTACAACAAATTTGATATGATGTTAAAGCAGAAAATAAACTTAGCACTAAGTCACCAAGGCTTAATTAAAAAATGGATGCATTCTGTTTCAAGTTTTTAGATTAATTCTGAAATTTTTATCAAAATTCATCTACTTAGTAGTTGTGTCACATAAAATTTACAGATAATAAAATATTTTAAACACAATATTTAAAAAACTTACATTTACATTATTTAATTTCCATGTTTTTATAAACAGTACAACATTTTTGGTTTCTCCTTCATCTAAGTATTAGCTTAAGATTTTGAAAGAAATATCCCCCCAAAATTTCACCACTGTCAAAGTACTCTTTTTTAAAAAAAAAGTATCATTAAGTCCTATTAAGCAATCATTGAATCCAATTACTTTCTAGTCTGGATACCCTTTGATGTCCAGGAAGCTTCAGGGGACCACATTGTGAATCTCAGTCATTCAGGTTTAAGTCAGCCTTTCCGCTCTCCATGATCATGTGTTAGTTAAACATTCATTCTTCGGATTTGGCCCTCATACTCTCAGTTAGTTCTACATCATCTTGAAGTTTCATCTTCTATTTCTTGGGCATACAAGTCTTCAGATTCAAACTTTAAATCTTCTAAAGCATCAATTATCTCCTGGGCAAGTTCTTCCAACCTATCACAAGAAAAATTTACACACCTTAAAAATTGTAGAAACCAATAATTCAATGGAAATTAACATGTGGTACGGTAACAAAAATAGAGCAGCATTTTCCAAATACAAAAACCTTTTAATAACTGCAAAGCAGTAAATTTTTAAGGAAACAAGAATATTCAGGTTCAACTGTATTCAGATTTTTTGGGCATTAATTATATATAAGAAAACAAAATTGAAAAGTGCAGAGAGTATAGTGCAAATATGAATTTAGGGCTGATTCCAAACAAAATGGAATGGTCTCTTAAGAAAGATTATGTAATATTTAATAAAGGATCACTTATCAATTTGACACCTTTTTAAAAACAGAAAAAAAAAAAGATTATTTTTCCGACCTTTGATGCAAAGCTGAAATTTCTTGCTGCGTGACATCATTCTCAGGTTCATCTGATGCATTCTTGCGAGCTATCTGAAGATCTGCCGTCTGAAAAATTTAAAAAAAAAATTGAAACGTTTTCTTTCCTGTCTTAGCCTTTTCATTAAAGATGACATCGACGCGATGTCACGATCACCCACTTTCAATTACCAAGGATGTCACATTGTCGCCAAGGACTTCACAATTCAATGCTATACATTTCTTTATTCGTTAATCTATAGAGAAGTTAATAATTGAATCAGATAGAGAATGAAAGAATACCGGAAGTTTCATCTTTAAGTTTTTTAATTGCTGAGTCAGCAAACATCGACGCCAAAACCAGCAGTAATGAAAGGGTTAAGATCGTCATAATTATAAATTAAGTACATTCTCAAATGGAAAGATTTGGATTATAAAGAATTGATCAAACTCTTTCTCCAGTGAGTAATTTCCAGGTGTATTTGAGTCATGGTTAGAGGTAAACTAATTTTTAAAGTTTCCCAAGCAAAAGCTCATCACATCAAATTGAAGGGATTTTATCATCACATTATAAATTATAGATTTTAATTAAGAAGCATTGTAGTTTGCATTATGCACAAAAGTGGCTTTAGCGCAAATTGTTTTGTCCCATAGAAAATTATTTGAGATACCGTATTTAGAGATAACAAAATGTGTATAATATCAGTGTGGGAAATAGAGGTTTGTAAACAATTGATTTAGATTAAATAGAACCAATCCTCCATAGAGCCTCTAACTTTTCTTGACCTTATTATTGGGCATAAAGAGAAAAATATCTGAGTGACAGGCTTGAAATTTTAAGGAAATCCTGTTAAACAAGGATGAAGCATTGATAACTTTCAAAATATTATAATTATGATATACAATTTCATAAAAAACCAATATAAATATTTCAAGAAACCATAAAACAGGGATGTTTCTGCTTTCTGCACTGCTCTTAAATTATCTTTAATTTGGATTTAAAACATAATGTAGTGCAATCTAGCACATCATGTCTACTAAAGTTTTAAAGAGAGCTGTTTCCATAGGTGTTATGCACCTTTGTTTTGGCAGATAAAAGGTTATATTATTTACCAGTACACTACAACTAAAGTAGGTACGTGGTACTGTGAGACAGCAACATAACTTTACGGTTACAATTTTTTTATACTGATTGTACAAACCTTATATTACATTAAATTTTT